CTGAGAGGGGCAGTATACCTTTGCTATGAGGGAGTGGGTGCTTGTAATTCCACTGATTTCAGAACTCAAAGGGAGCTGGGACTCAGCATCCTCTCTAAAATATTTTCCTTTATTAATCTGTCCTATAAGAAGATTGTGTAAGAGGAGAACTCATTCAACAGTACAGAAAGAAGGCTCTGAACTTCAAGTAACTGCTTGTCCTGAAATACGTGCAGCTTCCCTGTCTCCTTAGTCTGGATGCTCCCCTCAGTGGCGTTATTTGCAATTACGTAAATTAATTTGAAAGAAAATGTGATGCTAGTTACTTCAAATATGTAGAATAGGAACAGAAAACAAAGCAGTCCTACATTTTTCCTTTCTCGGGTTCAAACCCTCAGCCTACTATGCTGAGTTGACCCCACTGGCCTTGTACATGAAGGAGCTCTAATTCATCACTAAGAGGACCTTTGAAGTGATGCTTCCATGCTGTGATAACAAAATTGCTGTTCTAGGCTGCTACATAGAAGTGTACAGCAAAACCTTGCTCCTTATTTAACTAGCAATACTGAAGATGCTAGTTCACTGATGAGAAACCAATCTCTGTACTTACATGACCAGATGAGGAAGCGAGTTGTTTCATACATGCAGTAGAATAAAAGCAACAGCATTTACAGAGATGCATGGAGACTTAGTGAAGCATGCGGTTTGCAAATAGCATTTTAATAGCCTGTTGTCCTTTGTGTTAAAGGAATAAGTTTGTGGAGTTTGACATGAAGCCTGTATGCAAGAAGTGCTATGAGAAATTCCCTCTGGAACTGAAGAAACGCCTGAAGAAATTGTCAGAGCTGACATCCAAGAAGGCACAACCGAAAGCTCTGGATTTAAACTCTGCTTAAACAGGTCTGTCAGTCTACTGACTGCACTCTTACAGTCATAAGCTGCTGTGAGCAGCAGCTGTTGATTACAGAGGCAATTACTAACAAGTGAAACCAAAGATAAGTAGTACCTTCCCCTTCTTCTGGTAATGTAGCTTTCATGTTGACTATCCCTTTTCTCAAGCGGTTATCTATTAACACTGGCAGAAAGAGAAATATGATTTCTGCTTGAGCAGTTTACAGGCTGGTTATTAATTTTCTAATAACAACTTATTCTGCCTTGTGAATTGTACACAGTCTTTCCTTTCTCAGCTGAACTGTAGTTCTCTCCAGTCCTCCATAGTCTATTCCATAGAATTTGGAAACAGCGGTTAAGTGTAGGGATGGAAGAAATGTATGATTTGCTGTTTTTCAGTTGAAGTATAAACATTTCTAGCCCTAGGTGAAGACATTTAACATGTAGACAAATATTCTGAAAGATGTCACTCTTTGCTACATGCAGAATGTTCTGATCTTTCTCCAGATTCTTACTGAGCATATATGGATGCTCTGCAGTCCTTCTGGTTTGCAGGTTTACCGGGAAAGCCCAGGAAGCAATAGTTATGGCATCTATGCTGCTCACTTGTCTAACTTAGGTCCAGTATTAAGGCAGCTGAAGAAGTTTGCTTTGCTGCTTCCCTGCTCGGTACTAAGGAGATCTCAGTTGTCAAGGCCTTACCAGCCTCTCCAGGATAGTTAGGCTCTCCTTAATGAGGAGGTTGCTATGGTGAAAGAAAGATTTTTGTTAGAAACTGACACTATAAATTTTCTTCATTTGTTCTCTACTACTACATGGGAGCTTCTAATGGTCAACACAAAGTATGTCCTCTCCACTGGCACAGCTGACATTTCTTGAGGCGGTGCGGCTGGAGCCTTGGTTATTCATTTGCATGATGAAATCAAATTGATAATATGGTGTCAAGCACTTCAATTTCCCTGTCCTTCTCACTTCATTTGAAAGATGGCACACTTGTTGGTCATGCTTCAGAGAGCCTAATTACATTAAGGGATATCTGATATTTATGGCTTATAGCAAATGTGGTCCTATGCAGGAAAAAAAAACCCAGGACATATTTCTCTTAAAAAGTTCACCCAAATAAGAGGTTCCTATCACCTTTCTTATTAAGACTTGAGTGTACTTAAAGAGAGGATCTCAGACATGAATCTGTACATCTTAACCTATAGTTCCGCTGTGTAGTTTTGCCTATTCACTAGTGAAGTTTCTAGATCCTGTCTCTGCTATAAAAATTGTGTGAAATTTACTGGGTTTGAACATCCTTGATATTTCTTCAGGGGTGAGCCATCAGCCGTGCTGTTCCTGAGTTCATTTGGGTGTTCTATAATCATGGGGAGCTTCTGAGACCTCCGTAGGTGTCCTCCATAGTTCCTAGTCCTGAACTAAGCTGAGCAGCCTGAATAGTTGAAGTCTCTGCTTGCCCTTTTACAAGGTCAACAGGATGAAAGGCACTGGAGGACTGCTGTCCCTTGCATGATTTAAATCTTCCAAGAAGCGGCTATTTTAGTAGGTCAAATGAACACAACAGTTGGGCCTAGCCACCAACCTGCAGTCCCAAGAGAATTAGCTAGCAAGAAGTTAGAACTTCCTCACTTCTTGCATGTGTGAGAAGCAACTAGATTGGGGCAATAATCTACCTTAAAATTGCCCTCACTGCCATCACACCTTGCTCAAAATATATCTGAATTAGGTAATAGCTAAAGCATTGACAGCTGTTCACACACTTGCTGTAGCTACTACCCATGAAATTGCACCAGTGATACCACAGCAGTGGTGGGAAATCCTTGTTAACTCTGTGCAGGTAAGAATCCCGCATGTGAGACCATCTCTTAGATACTTAATGGCTTTGCTAATTCAGATTCCTTCAGCCGCTTTGCTTTTTGGTGCCATAAGCTACTATAAACTTTCAAATGGGATATACTGCATCTGCTATAACACTGATGAGGGGACAGGCCTAATCCTAACAGTAGAACTCTTCATCCTCTTCTGAACAATATACACTGTAGCTTACAGTAATAGTAGCTGCTTTTGTCACTGCTTTAGGAGACCATGTGGGTAGTCACTTTTCTCTCACCAGCCTTTAAATAGTCTGTAGTTAAGGGCACACAGAGCAGCATGTCTTTTGGTGCAGTAGTATGTGGCCACTGCAAAGAATCTAGGTTCAGTTCAGTATGCTATGCAGAGTCTTCTCAGCATGAAGCATTCAGGTCTGTTCCTATAACTTTAGTCACAGGGCATGTCTAATCTTAAATCTGAGCAGCTGTGTATCTTCAGCCTTCTGGAAAGATGTGGATGAATACACAGCCAAGTAGCTACTGGTAAATATGGAAAGACTATGTAACTAGCAGGCAATAGGTAATATTCTTTCAGTGGCCACTTTCAAGTTCAGCAATGGAAAATGCATGTATGTAGAGGTGAATGGAATTACTTTTGTACTGTAAGTAGAGATAGAGGGTGTACTCTCACTTTGTCTCATATTTGCAACTCAGACCTAATAAGCTTCAGTGTTCAAAGTATAGCTGATACTGTCTTTGATGAGCTGTTTGGTTATCTAACATTTGGATTAAGTCCTTATCTTTAGAGCATTTCCCAAATTACTGGAGGGAAAAATATCCCTGACCTCTGTATTAGCGGAGGGTGATGTTCCCTTAGTATTTCTTAAATTAGTAATGTTTCACCATTATTTTTCTTATATTTCTGCTGCCCATAGCCTACAGTGTGCAGAGTTATGGGAGTGAGTATTACTGACATGTCTTTTGTGGGATAGTGGAATTGAAGGAGTTGGAAAAATAACTATAAATAGTTTAATAAAAGTACCTTCCCCTACTTCAAGTCCACTTCCTAAAAACTAAGTAGAATATAGTGCAGACTTAAGACTTTCCTTAGTGTGTTGCTAGGATAACAGGTTTGTTGGTTGTCAGTTTGTTTGTTGGTTGGTTTTGGGGTATTTTAAAAGTTAAGGGCTTGGTCAGAAACAAGCTGCGTGTTTTTTTCCATTGCTGTGAATAGACATGCTGGCCAAATTCATCCTAAGTATCACACCACTGGAGAGTGTAGATTTACATCAAGGTTGAACTTGGCTCAGAAGTCTACACTTACCAAAAGCTGTTGTCTCATTATATACATCTATACTTTACATTCATATTTATACATACTGAATTAAAATCACTAATATTCACTGAATACACTTGAAATGGTTTTGCTGTTAGAAACCACACTATGTGAAGCTTGTTTGTATTCAAAGGGTATGTTAATCACAGTCTCTTTACAGCAACCAAATCTACTCTATAGGGTTTGCATCCTGGTGTTTATTTTTACAGCAATCTATGGAATGTAGGCAAATGCTGTTCAACCTGTGCAGAGAGTTTCTAGATGGTGTGTGTTTTGTATTGTGATGTGACTGACACCTTTTTAAAAGTGGTTGGATGGTGAAGGAATAGGTTGCAGGCAAACATAATAAATGTAGTTGCACTAGTCTGTAAAGCACTGTTAAGTGCTGAGGATGGTATAGACCCAGTAAAAAAATTAGCAGCTACTTGCCTTGGTTCAGGCCTTGATGAGCAGTGTGGATTCTGCACTGTGTGGAGCTCTTTTTGTCGCACATTGCCTGTGCTAACCAAAACGTGATTGTGGATTCAAATGTTGTAACACTGTCTCTTTTTAAGTTTCTATAATAAAGTTAACTGTAACACATTTTAAATCTTCACACACAACAAAAAAAAAAGTAAAAAAGTTGTGTATCGTACAGTGAAAGAAAAGTCACATTTGGAATGCTGAGCCAGAGAGCACTACACGCCCTGAGGAATGCTGGGGGTTGCCCAAATCTGATGCACTGGTGTGGTGAGCTCATGTTTTGGATCTCTGCTGCTTTTCCAGTGATGTGTTGGTTGATGGGATATTAGCTTTTAAAGTCTGTGCTGTACAAATCATGTTGTAGGCGAGTATGATTCGTGTATATACAACAAATCGTGTTGTCTGGCAAGTAGATGGGATGGTTTGATTGTTTACAGGCTGTAGCGGATATTTGGTGGGTTTAGGTTACACGAATATAGAGCAAATACTCCATTTCCTTGTTAAAAAAGGCATTGTGGTTGATTTTCTGCAGTGTTTATTTAAAAACCAGAAACAATACAGTTTCGCTGCAAAATTTCTTTTTGTACAGGTGAAGTATTGAATGCTTCTTACATAGGATGACAAAACAAATCATTAGTCTCAGACATTTCCATTGCCAGCAATGGTCACTACAGCAGGAATATCTGATTGCATGCAAAACGATCAACTATTCTGACAAGTATGGCACTCATATGCACAAAGAGAGTGGGGCTCTTCCCTGCCACCCATGTACAAAACTCCTATTACCGTTTGAATTTCACACACACACATCAGAGGGAACAAGAGAACCATTGTGCATACCTTGGCAAATTAGAGAGATCTAGCAGAGCTGCTATTCCAGCCCTGCCAGGCAGTGTCTCAAGGAACTTGGTGTAAATGCTTTAAGACATGTCCATGTTTCACTGTGAGCAAGGAAGGGCTTGTTGTTGAGGAAGGAATATTTATTCTCTGATGGGGTAAGTGTCTAAGCTTAGAACCACCACAGTGTGTATGTATATCCTTTACATACTCTGAGAATGCTATGGTTCCTAAAGGGCCAAAGTTGTGCGTTTTCAGAGGTCTGAGATACGAAGAAGTTTTACCACTCAAAGTGCCTGCTAAACAGGAAATAGAAAAGATCAGGAGAAATTAAAACTATTAATTCTTGTCTCATGAAGGAATGTCTGCATGACTCCAAGCTGAGAAAATTTTTGCAGAGCAGAAAAGTCTCTTTTCAGCAGATGTCTGTTAGACTGCATTCTTCAAGTCTGACTTGCACTGAATAGCACGTCTGTAACTTGAAGTAGGAGCAAAAGTAATGACCCAAAATCCAGACTTATTTCAGAGTTTGTTTATGCTTACTAGAAACTGCATAGTAGAAAGCAGTTGTTACCAAGTACATTGCAAAATGTAGAAGGAAGAAAGAAAACTACTTTAACCAAGGCAATGGTAAACCAGTGGACAGTCTGCTAATTTAGCATCACAAAGGAATGACTGTTAAGATTCTGACAGTAAGTAGCTGTCATAGTCCACGGTAGCTTACAGCACATAACTTAGTGATAAAAGGATGAAAACCAGCATCTTACCCTTCAAGGTGTTCAGTTATCCTACTACTAAAGGGCATTTCTCCACGCTTAGAATTTCCAATAGGAGGAAAAAAAAAATAACGTTACCTTTGTTTGCAAAGACTCGAGGGGTTTATACATTTGGTAAGGGCACATATACAACAAGCTGGCATTTTGTTTCCAAAAGGAAGACAACTGTTAATGTGTATCTCTCTTCAAGAACAGAGGAAATTTAGAGGCTTTCATATTTAGGGTTTCTCCATCCTCCTGCCTCCATATTACATTAAAATCCAGCTGGACTTTCTCTAAATCCATAATCTGAATGGAATTCTTGTACTACATCTAAGACAAGCATTACAGATGCTTGAAAGCACATGCCCACTTGAGCTTCTCTTGTAGCATTTCAGTAACACAGTTCATTCAGCGTGTGATCACAAGACCAGTCATCAAGCTCATTAAACGGCTTTCTTCTGGGAGATGAAATTACAGGTAGTTTGGCACAGACACAGGTCATGGGTTCTGTTTCTGCTCTCAGGCTGAGAGGTTCTTTTGCTTGTTTACAGCATTCATTAGCAGGTGAACATAGGATGTTAACAGGTCATCCATTTTGTAACCCTGTCAGAAAAGAAAAAGATCTGACATCTCTCAAAATGCTCCAGAAGCAAAAATAACTATAATGTCCTCCCTGTTTTATTTTCTTCTTTGGTTCTTCCCTGTCTCCTTGTCATTCATTCTATAGATTGACATTTTATGCTTAGGAATCCAAACTTTTTTTGTGAGAGAAGTTAGCCCTTAAATGTTTTCCTTTTATATTTACAAATTTACCTTTAAAAATGAATACGGTGATGCTTGTCTGAGAGTGTGGGCAATCTGAAACCAATTCTTAAAGAAGTGATACCACTCAAGTGTAAAACCTTACAAGGATGGCATTATTGTATAGATGGATCGAACCATGCATGACAAAAAGTCTCCTACATAGTTTTTTGGGTAAGTACAGTCTTTCCTTAATGTCTCAGATAGATTTGGGAAGAAAAATTTGCGGAATTACTATTTTCACGTGTCTCTGTGGCTTACAGCTTTGTATCAGATGTCATTAAATAGCACTGAACCAGTTCTAAACTTCAGTTTTATTGACATAGCAGTGAATGCTTTTTGTACCTGCACTTTAACATCTGTTTTGACACCAGTGTTTTGTAGTAATTCTGGATGTAAAGGAAAACATAGACACATACAAGTTTCTTGTGTGTAAGTTGACAAAACCCTTCTTACCAGAGATGTCTCACATAAGATCCGGCTTCCTCGTACCAGGTTCCCTATTGTCATGTGAAAGTATGTGCTCCCACTGCTCCAATTGGAGATTTTATTGAAGGGGTAGACTGTTAAAATATCCTGTAAGGGGAAACAAACTGAGCTCTAGAGCATTTCTCAAATGAAAACAGGCTGTTACGTGAGAAAACCTGTAAAGCCAGAGCATTCTTTTCTTTCCCACTTCATTTGTAAACACAGTGGATCAAGGTAGTTCTTGCATCCAGACTAGTGGTATATTGTATTTTCACCAAGTTAAGTGAGTGATTGCCTTAGCACAGTGCTGTTGTATTTGCAATGATCTAAAACTCACTGGCTATTTGTTTTCCTATTAGAAGCAAATAGTGATATTCATGAACACTTCTGCCTGGGAACTTAGGACCAAACTGTTTGGATTAGAGAGGTGCTAAACAGTGTCATTTGACCCGGTCTTTTAGACAACTTGGCTTTCCTGCAAAGCATTTGTCTAAGGCAGGTTCCCTAGTGCACTGTCCATCATCTGCCTTTGCCCATGTCCATCATGATTACACTTATTTTTTTCAGAGATGTTCTGTACTGTTTCCTTTCCAGGAAACTGCAAAGAAGTGTGATGTGAGGCAGTAACATTTCCTTCTGTTTCACAGAGAGAATAAATTGAGGGACTCTTATCCTCTCCTACCATTCAGGGAGAAGGTCCTTGTTGCTGTCCCTAAATTAGCACAGTCAATTAAATCCTTCTTTACACAGACTCTAGAGAAGCAACTGTTACCTTTGTCTTCTGATGTATCAGTGAGACTCCTTGCTTGTTGATTGCAATCAGCACAATCTCTGGGAAATTTGGCTCTGAGGTTTGCTATAAACAAGTAACAGAGCAAGTTAAGTAGAAAACGAAGAAATGATCCGTATCAACTGCACAGTGACCTCTACCAGTGTCCAGTGCTTCTCATTCTCTCTACCAGATAAACACTGAAAGAAAAAGCTCTTCAATATTGTGCAGCTATTGCTAAGGATGACTTTTTTGGCCATATATTGATGACTTGAGCAGCTGTTACATAAAAGCAGAATCAGATCCATTATTTCCTAAGCAATCTGATGATAGGATTAATAGTTGGTTGCAAACCAGTTAAGAACCTAGCAAAGACAAATTAAAGGTAGCAAGTGGGAAATGATTCCTGGAGGTATCCACTGCAGAATGAGAAGATCAGCACAGTTCTGTTTTGAGGGAAGAGTCCCCAGAGACACAAGATTTGGCAGCATTTTGTTGTGGATACCAGTGATGGGACAATTAAGTATCTACGTAACTAAAACCTCCCTACAACTACTGCATAGTTGTAGTATTAGGTATTATGACTAGAACAACAACATAGCCAGTAAATAACAGGCGTAGTTCAGAATGGATAAAAATGTCACTTTCAAGTAACTGAGTTTTCCTCAGTAGATTATGGGAATTCAGCTTTATACTTACACAAATATGGAATTATAGTCAGTCCATATGCCCCAGTGCTGGTCTACTATCAAAGCCATTCATCCAGGCCTTTAAACCTACCTTCACCTCAAAGAAGGCTGATCCAAATGTTGGCCACCGGTATACCATTTTCAAGAAGGCAATCTTGGCCTCATCCACAGTTTTTCCTTCATGTTTAGTGTATGCTGCAGTAATGCTCTGTTTAGAAAAAAGAATACAAACCCCATTCAGTTGGAAGCAGGCAGGTTTCCAGTGTCCAGCATTAGCACTAAAGACAGCATCAGATCATCACCAAGATCAGTCTTTTACCCACAGCAACAGTCAGAAGACTGAAAATGAAATAGCCTTGCCATGGGACAAGGTAGAGTCAGACCCTCCCCAGTGTCCCTTACCTAATGAGTCCAGGAGCCCAAGAGAATGGATTTGAGGGTGGAGGGCAATATGGGATGGAAGAAAAGCAGTGTTCAACACCCACAGACATATATCACATTTTCTGCTGAAACATGTAGGGTGAATTTTCCCTCTCTTTGAAACTGTGTCCTATGTCTTCCTCAGTGGACTAAGTGGTAAGTACCTGCTGAAACCTTGCCTTCTGGTGGATAAAAGACCTTTTTTGCTGTGAGTAGCATACACATTGGTACAAGGTGACTGATGTGCTGGCCAAGCTATGAAAAGTTCAGCACACATCTTACTTTTCTCTTTCCCTTTAAGCTCCTCAATCTCCAGTCCCATCACTGACTTTCCTATCTCTAACTCTTCTTCTGGGGACTGGAAATAGATTAATATCTCCAGGAGAGATGCACATTTCAAACAGTCATCCAGGGCTGCAGATACCTTTCAGAGCTTTGGTAGAGAGGATGCAAAATCTGGATTCTAAGAGGCAAACCAGCAATATCCAATAGTGTCCCTCCATAGTGCTTTCAAAGACTGTCAGACTGAAACTGTAGTGTGGATTGATTTCTCTGTGCAAGTAGTGTAATTCATGAAAGCTCATGTTCTTACCTTCTTCCACTCATCTGGTGAGATTACTCGGAGCAGATTGTCTGGCACCAGCTCCTTCAAGATTTTGGGGATGATTGCCAGCTGTGTGTGGTCATTGTTGAAGCGCACTTTATAAATCAGCCCTGCAAGCTGGACAGCTTCATCCTTGGAACACTTGTGGTAGCCTCTGAGGTACTTTGGCAGCTCCTGGAAGAGACTGGCTCTGAATCCAGACAGAATGGGCTGAAGCAAACACTGGCTTACACATTCTAAAGCTGTGAGGTCAGGATGTGAGTCTTGCCAAACACAGTCCGAAGACATCCCAAGAACTTTTGATTCCTGCAGGTTCTCTGGATGATCTTTAAGGGGTCCTTTCCAACCCAAACCATTCTATGATTCTCCATACAATTACAGAGCAAGATTAGCACCTCCAGAGAACAATTACATGAGGGAGCTGTGCTCCTAACATAAGCAACATAGCTAAGTTGTGAACACTGTGAGAAATAAGCCACCTTCTGGGGCTGAGTTGTGCTCACCAGAGGCATTCCTCTGGAGGCTCTATAATGCAGGCCTCGGTAATACTCCAGCAGACTTAGCTTTCTCAGGATGATTTCTTGGATCACATTGCCTGTTATATTTATGCTTTAAGGAGCTGGTTACCTGGTGGTAATGAAAAATTGAATCAGCTTTCAGGTCCTTCCCAGGAGTTACATTCAGCCACAGCTTTCTCATGAAGTACACCTTATAAGCCACAGACATAGCAGCCCCTAAGGAAACAAGATCTTGTTAGTATTCTCTGTGCGCTTCAGAGTTGTGCAGTTTTTAAATAGCTTGTGAGTTTCTTCAGAAATGTAATTCTGATCTTAATAGCAACAAAAAAAAAAGTGCTAACAAAAAAGCATAAAAGGCCATTTTAGATGACCAAGAAAGTGATTAATTAATTAGTGATTAAGATAAGTGATTAGTTGTCAGTCCCTGGGTACTGATCATGCAGTGGTCAGTGCAAGCTCTTCAGAGATGGAAGAAGAAACTGAAGATGCCTGCAATACGAGTGTTTGTTATTTCTTGGTGCTCATGAGAGCTGCCTGCTAACGTGCAGCACATCTGAATTCTGTTATACTGATGCAGGTACATTCCCTATAGCCATGTTTATAGAAATTAACTGTGATTTAGTGCCCCCCCATCTTTATGCTGTGATTTTCAGAGCTCCTAGCAGCTGTATCAGCTGTGGGAAGAAGAGGGAAGTCTTAGATACATAGTGCTTCAGGAGGTTGAACCTTGGTTTTAATGAAATAAGCAAAAGTCAGGACAAATGAATATGAAATTTAAGGGGAGTTTGATGTAGATTTCAAAATGTATGTTATACATAGAATCATAGAATAGTTAGGGTTGGAAAGAACCTTAAGATCATCAAGTTCCAACCCCCTGCCATGGGCAGGGACACCTCACACTAAACCATGCCACCCAAGGCTTCGTCCAGCCTGGCCTTGAATGCTGCCAGGGACGGAGCATTCACAACCTCCCTGGGCAACATGGAGGTAAATTGCGCAGAATTGCTGTCTTTAGCATTATATTGGTTGATATATTGGCAATACAACTTGTGCTTTGGTATCATCAGGTAATAATCTAGACAACAATTTTGTAATAGCCCAAGGAATGGGAGTGACACTGTGTAAAGAACATGTGTTGGCTGATAGCTGACCTGGCAGTGCATGAGCCTTGGATTGTCAAGAGGATCAGCCTATGAAACTTGTGTGTTTGGGATGCAACAGGTAAAAAAAAAATCTTTGGTACTAATTTAAAATCTCTGGAGAGATCCCCCCCAAAAAGATGTTCTGATGTTTCTCATAGCCAGTGCTTGGCTGCATCAGGTCACTGGATCTTACTGCTGGTGCAGGCAGTAGCCATGCATCTACAAACAAAAAAGTTACAATAAGGCTCTGCCACACACTTCCCAAGATGGGGTAAATCCTACTAGATAAATTTGCTGCTTCCCCAGTTCAACACAGCATCTCATGCACCTTCTTGTCATGCTGGCTGGCATTCTCCTTACCATCTTTCCCTGGTTTGTTCCTCCTGTTCCAGTCTGTCACCTGCCTTAGTGAGTCAAAAAAGTAGTCTGCTTCATTCTGACTGATCACCTGGAAGAGGCCAAGCAATGAAGGGGAGAAAGGAGGGATTAGCAGGTCGTATGTAGTACTGCCTGTGCCAACATACCCAAACATCAAGCTGAGGGGATTTTATTCCCTGTCTACAGTGAGAGAGCATAATTATGGCAGGAAAGACAGGCAAGGGGAAAAAAAGACATAAATAGGATGACAATGTCTGAAATTATTTATATTTCAAACAGGGATTTTTATTGTGACTTCTGTTGCTTTTTAATTACCAACCTGCTTATTGAAGTCAAGCTGAAGATGCCTACCTTATTCTTAGCCATTTCTTTTTTGTAAAGTTTGGTACATACTGGGTTCCTCTTTTCAGGAACATAGCACATGAGAAACTCATTTTGCTTAGACCCAGATTTTTCTTTGATCACATTTCCAGAGAAGGGACCTCTCCAGCAATTGACTGGTCTGTCTTCTCTGGTTTTAGTACTACCTTTGTACTGATTGACTAATAGAAACTCTGCATCTTCATCCAGCCCCTTTGAGAGACCCAAAGTAACTATCAGGTGCTAAAAGTTTGAGTCTAGATTGTATTCTCTTAGTAAGACAGAAGCAGTAATGACCTGCTCTGTTGCTTGGCTTCATACATTGTTGCTTAGGTGATCTGGTAAGTAAGAGAGGAGGCGGCAGTCTGGCTACCCCCCAATAGTCAAGAAGTGTTACCTTGTCTGCAATCTTCACAAAGAGGCTGAAACCTTCCCAGGAGCTCAGCTGCAATTTGGAGGCAATGCTCTGACACAGAGTGCGGATTTTGGTGTTTGTTCCCACATCAAATGTCTATGAGATAAGAAGACTCTTGTTACACAGAGAAGAGGAAGAAACAGGAACACGGAATAGCTTTAAACTTGCTCCTGCATGAACACGTCATGGCTGGGAAAACAAGTAAGCTCTCACCTCTTCTGTTTCATTGGGGAAGCAGATCTTGTGTGAGATCTTAGTGTTATTTTGTAAGATGGCCTCAACCTCCACAGGATGCGGTGCCCACTTCCTGGAGCCACTCCTGGAAAATGCCACCATCACCACAACAAAGATCAGTGTTGGGTGTTTAATCTTTGAGGAACTGAACAACAGTATCCTATCCAAACAACAGACTCCATCCAGAATGCTAGTACTATGCGATGGGGCAGGCTACAGTGGACCTTCACCCTGTTGCAAACATCAGTGTATTAACAGCAAGAAAATGAGGGTCCTGTTAGCATGTATTTTAAAAGTCTGTTCTACTCTGCAAGGAGGTTGCATTAATAGGTTGCACCTTCCTAGCCAGTACCATTACCCCTTCTATGTATTTAGCAGCATTTTTCATTACTGTTATTGAAATACGAGGATAGTGGCCACAAGGAGGAATACATTTTATTTAACTCTTGCAAAAAGATGTGTTCAGATACAAAACGAGTTACAGCTCAGGAGACAAGTCCCATGAAAGTTTGGAGTGCTGCTAGAAGCATTACACCTTATATAAGAGCTGGCATGTAATCACTGACTCAAGGAGTTCAAACTGTACAATCCCAGTTCTTTGAAATTGTATCTCAGAGCAAAGCAAAGGAACTGGCTCTGAAGTCTGAGTCGTGCCTTGATACAGTTAAAATGAGAACAAATCTAGCACATTACCTTCTGGGGCTGGTATTTTCCTGCCCTCAGTGGCACAGAGCAGGCTGTTTGGAGGTTTTGTACACCACAGCTTAGGGCCAAGCTCCTCTCTCACACTGGGCCTAGTCCCTCGAGAAGAGAGCTTAGTCTGGCATCCGGCTTGAGTCGAAAACTACGGTTTCTTCCATTAACTGAAATAGCAGTTCCATTTGGAGAAGGAAGGCCTGACTGTAACCAAATTAAACAGCATGTGCTCTGGTTCTGTGCAGGCACTGTAGGGAGTGTGGACCTACCCTACTCAGCCATCCATTCCTGGACTTGCAGGAGAGAGAGGCCACATGAGACCAAGGAAGTGCAGCAGCCTGGCTGCAGCCTCAGCTAGGAACTCGTTGCCAAGGCAAGTTCTGCTTAACACTCATCAGGGTGCTCACTGGTTCCCTGGCCAGGAGTCTGGGGATGAAGCTGTAAAGCTCTTTATGGAGGAAAAGGTGTACCCTAGGGCTCACTTGGCTTCTACTCTATGTATTGTATGTCAGGCTTCTGAGCTTCCTGTGCTCCCTTTTCCAAAGACAGCAGTATACTTACAGGGAGAATTTGGACTAGATGATTATTGCAGGTCACTTCCAACTGCAATATTCTATTCAGAGCAGGTTTAATCACAGGACAACAAAATTTGTCTTTGTTCCTCTTCCCATCCCCCGGCCTCCAGATCTGGGACAGTTTAGCAGATAGAATTCTCCTCCCAAACAGCCCATTCTGCTTTTTCTTCTGTGTTTCCCCACTCTAAAGAAGCTCTGTACAGCTCAACGGGGTTTACAGCATGAATAGCACATGATATAGGGAGGCAGGAAATTTTCAGGCTTCTCCATAGAAAAAAAAACAATGAATAGCATTCCTCGCCATGCATTTTTCAGGCACTTCAAAAGTGATTTCAATGTGCAGTGACATTTTCCCAGCAGTGCCAAAAACCATCCACTGAAAGGGAGACAGCCACTGTGTTAGCATTCCTCTCGAGCCTGACCCACAGGGCTCACAGACCAAAAGCAGGGCCCAGCCTAAGAGAAAGGGGAGAATGGAGGAGCAGGAGGGAGAAATCATTGGGCAGCTTCTTTACTGAAGAGGCCTGTGGCAGGAACGTAGTAACTCACAGCAGCATCAAAAGGAGGAAGGCTGGGGTTAAGCTTGTTCTTGGAGTGTCAAGCTGGGTAATTCCAGTGCCTGAAAGAATCTAGGAAAACTTTACCCCTACAGTTTAGCTGAAGCTTCCTGAAATCCTGGTAGCCCTTCTGCTCTCTCTGGTTGCGTCATGTTCATTGTACCAACATACCCAGCTCTGGAAGTCAAGTGATGATGTGTAATACTGAACTTGTTATAATGTTGGTAACTGTGACACAGACCCCTCTTACTAGTTCAAAGTTTGTAAGAGAATGCATAGATGCATTTAAATTGCCCTGTGGATCTGGACTACAACTGTGGCATGCTAGCCCCTTGCTCATTTCTAGCAATCCTTGTATTAATCCCTTTCCTCTTCAAACCTAGCTTAAAGCCCTCTCTCTGAGCGCATCTAGCTCCTGGGCTAGAATCCTTCTCCCCCTTTGGGACAGACATACCCCATCTGCCACCAGCAGGCCTGGTGCCGTGTAGACTGATCCACGGCCAAAAAGCCCCAAATTCTGATGCTGACATCAGTCACGGAGCCAGGAATTCATTAGTGACATTTTCTGATGTAACCATAGTCATTGACTGTGACTGGCAGGAAGGACGAGAACACTACTTGGGCTCCTGAACCCTGCACCAGTCACTCCAAGGCCCTTGAAGTACTTCTTGAGTCTCGGGCTTCTTGAAGAGATGTCCTCATTGCCCACATGAAAGACTAAAAAACGATGGTAGTGGCAGGGCCACATCAAGTAAGTCAGTTTTCTGGTGAAGTCCCTCACCCTGGCCCCAGGGAGGCAAGCAGACTTCCCTGTGAGTCTGGTCAGGTTGACATATGGGACCCCCTGTTCCCCTTCAGGTGGGAGATGCCAGATCCTTTACCTCATCACTCTCTGAATCCTCCGACTGCACTCCAGGGCCAGTGTTTCTTTCTGACGTGTCTCCATGAACTTCTGGGCATGTTTCAGCAGTGACTTGCTGGGTGGGAACATGCCAGTGCAGAGCCAAAGGAGCTGCCAGCCCTTGGTCACGCTGTACCTGTGAACACAAAGCAAACAGTTCTGCTCTAGACACATATAATTCTTTGTTTGACCACACACCAACTACAGGGAAGAGAAACAAACACTCTCCCATAATGGTATGTACTGCTGTTCAGCAGAGAGCTGCTAATCAACAGTGCCTTCTCATGGGAACTGGCAGTGATTTTCTGTGCAACAGCCAGAGTCCATATGTGAAGACAATGCTAAATCCTGGTTGATAAATATTCATGACAGTTGCAAATCTCATGAATAAACATAAGCTCCACTTTAACACTCATCTTGGCAGCAGTGGCCCCAGTGCCATCCTCTCGGAAAGCCACTGTCAATATGCTGCTCAAGCACACATGCTTTTGGATTGCGCCTTATCAGCTGTTCATATTCACCTGCCCTCTGTGCTAGACAGCTTTGCTCTTGCATCTTTACTTTCCCTCAAGCATGCTCATGCTCTGAAAAATAAGCACGTAGATGGTATTGTGTAATGAGGTAGGTACAGTTCTTAAACACACCAGATGAAGTCTGTACAACTTTCAGGCAGAAAGCCAGTTCTTTCAGCCTCTGGACTTGTGAAATCTGACAGTCAAAGTTCTTCTGGCATCTCACCCTCACCAGTAAGAAAGGCTCTGCAGCCAGGAGGCGGTCAGTCATTCTACCTTCAAAGCCAGCAGAACACACTTCAGCTGTGTCCCAGGAATTGCTCTGAAATGTTTAATGGTGTGAAGTGGTTTTGGCTGGGAAAGTTAGCAGGTCTGCCTCTGAATGGGTACCAGACTCTGCTGAATGAGGAGGTCCTAGCTTCCTTATTCCCATTTATTTCTCTGATTTTGCAGATGAAAACATGCTATTTTAATCCCATTTATAGATCTGTGGTGTTTGTGTCTATCTGAGAGCAGGACATGGTCCACAGTGCAGTAGCCTAGGAAGGAAGAAAGATTTGTTGCTCTGGCTGTTCTAATGAAAGTATATGGAAATAGCTGCCTTTCAAGCAGTGTTTTTTCCACATCAGTGACGCCCCTCAAAACACTGGCTAAATTGGCAGAGTGCATCAGGCATGGCACTGGCACCATGGTTACAGACTATGCATTAAATAGCCTGGAAGATTTAGTGCACAGAATGAAAATTACTGTTTAATAGTTAGTAATGTTCCACTAAATTTAATATTTGTGGAACAAGAAGAAAGAAAACCAAATGGAAGATCCTTCTCTAAGTTGCAGTGATGCAATGCAGCTAGAAACAAACCATTTTGTTAATAATTAGTACTATTTTAAACCTCCTTTTGCAATTCAGTTCCCCTCGAAGTAGGTCAAATTATCATTTTATGAGTGAGGAAATAAAACACCAGCCTGTTACAGGGACTTACACATAGGCAGGGCCCATGTAATCAATCTGTTCTGCAAGGCAGTTGTATAAACTACTTAACATGGCTATTCAGAAGTATTTACTGGTGATAAAAGACCTAGCGTGAACTCTGTGCTTATAGGAGGGAAATATTGTCATTGGGAAAATTTCAAACTGGCAGAGCAGTCACTGAAAGCATGTAAGAACTTTATGCACTGCGTTATTCACTCCACAGACTGCTTTGGGAGTAAGAAGGCTTTAGTAACACCTTGCTTGCCTCATGTCATATTGCACAGAGTTTAGCACTGAATGCTGATGGCAGCAAAGCAGCAGCTCAAGGGAGATGAGTGACAGTCATGCTCTGTGGCCTGTCTGTAGTCTAAAGTGCTGTGCACAGGTGAGCCCCATAGCACTGCCCAGGAAAAGGAAGAAGGAAGGTGTCCCTCCAACGTTTGGCCAGCCTTCCCCTCTGCCTCCACCCCACCACCATGAGGAGCTGAGGTTCCTCATCACCACCTGCATTTGAGCCTGGCTCTGCAGAAGCAGGGTGCTTGCACTCAGGTGAGTACCTGTTTCTGTTCTCAGTCAGTTGCTTCATAATCTGACAGTAAATTTCATCCCGTAGGATCTCTTCCTGGATAGCTGCTACAAATATCTGGTCAGTGACTTCCACAGAGGAGTGCACCTGTTTTGAGGGATAGTCTCCCATGAATTTCATGATGGGTGAATGTGCTGTTAAGAAAAAAAAGAAGCCAATTTTGGAAGGCAAATGAGAAGTCTCACCTGAATCCTAACATGTTTGTGACTCTTTTGATATCTAATGGCAAATACTGGGAGGAGGGTCTGGAATATATTCCCTGCCTGTCCACTACCCTCTTTCCCTGTGCAGCAGTCACTGCTTGGCTGTGATTTGTACTGTATTAGATGCTTGCTCTGGGCATATTAGCTACTGCTTTGGGCAGTAGATCTCACCCATTCCTAAAGCAACATTCTCAGTTAAGTGAGCCAGCAGGAGTTGAGGAGCATTGGGAGGGAATAGGAAGCTTTCCTCTATAGATAAGAGAAACAGAGTTGATACCCCCTGCCTTGATGTACATGTCTCCCTTGTAATGTGGATGCAGTATTATCCCAATGGAGGTGAGTTTAATGGATGCAGCTAGCTCCTCCTTCCCCTGAGTGTTCTCAGGTCCCACAGAGATGAGTGAAAGGATATCGATGAAGGCCTGACAAGCCAAATCAGGAAGATCAGGGTCTGTGCATGCTCTCTTCAGCAAGGGCTGTTTCAAGGGCTCCTTAGAATGTGCCCACAGTTGACTGCGCCCACGGGATTTTTGGAGAACAGCTTTGCTGATGGATTCCTTCTCAGGAGTCCTGAATGAAGACAAAGACAAGTGCAGGCAACACAGGATTACTGGATCGGTATTGCTATGAACACAGGAGGTCACTGTCACACAGACTTCCGTAGTCATGTTCTTTCTCAAAACAGTGATCTCCTATCTCCTTTGATTATTCATATCAACAAGGAGATGTAGTTTCTTGTAGATCCAGAAGGAAGATGGCTTGAAAACAGAACACAGGTTTTAGAAGACTAATTTTTCCCTTGCTGTCCAAGGCCTGTGATGTTGTGTATCCTCAGTAGCTGGTAAGTGCTGAAGAAGGGTGAGAAGTAAGAATAGTGCCTGCTGCAAAGAAGCAAGTCCAGCTGGGGTTCTTCAATCCTTACCTTTGCATTTCTGCAAATAAAAGATACAAGTAGGCCATGTGCCAGAAACTCTATACATCAAAAGTCACAATTATGGAGAACAATTGGTATCTCCATCAGAAAAGGGGGATGCCATTACATCCTAGGCTTTATGTGTCACTGAAGATCAATAAGAACTTTCCTAGGGTGCACACTACGCAGAGAGTTTCACCTGAAGTGTTCATAGGAGAACTCCTCTAGGGTGTAAGGCTTCACTTCGAGATCTTCTTCATCAGGTTCATCCACGTAGGAGTTCTGTGAAGCTGTCCTCCTCTGGTCTGGAGACATCATCAGCAAACTCTGGAATGACACAGCCACGTAGAAATGTCACATGGACACAGATCTCTGCACAGATTGTCAGGGGTTACTCAGCATATATGCACTAAATTCGGTACTGTGTGCCAGAGGAGACTTTCTGTTCCCTAAGCAGCATCTTCAGAGACTCAAGAAAGACTTGGGAATACTTAAAGAAGTAATTTCCATAGACCAAACAGTAGGGGATGTGGATGTGATTATCCAAAGCACAACACTTGTGAAAAATCCACCTGCCTATTACTAGTGTGTTTTCCCCCACATTTTCAGCTTTTTACTTTTTAGTACTGTATCAAATACAGTGAATCTCCAAAACTGAAGACAAAATTGTTATCAGAGTGCTTGATGGGAAACCTTGACTCACTGAAAAAGCATATTCTGTTAAAGTAACTACCTGCACTTAGAGCTTCCCTTGAGATGTATGATCACCAAGCAAGCCTGGTGTGAATGCAGGAAAATTCAACTGCACACCCATTTCCAGGAATTGCTTCAGATTCCAGGAACTCAAATCCCTAACAATTGAACAGACTGGTTTTTTGAGTTATTGCTTTTGGGCAAGTGTGGTCTTCTGTGTAGAGTTTTGGCTATGTTTAGTTTTCGGATAGGACAGAATGAAATGCTTTGCTTCAATGGGAGGTACGGAACTTATCTGACTTTAGAGGAACAACTGACTTCCAGTTATAAATTTAATCATATTTAACACTGTTATAATTTATCTTCCAGTCTCTTCAAAGGGAGTGCTCAGCTTGTCTTACCAGTACTTGACTAGAGGGTTTTGTCAGAGAAGGAATGATGTAGATATCTTCCAAAAATACATTCCCTGTTTTGCCTGTCCTTTCATTCTGGGCACAGATCCAGCCAGAGTCTGCATCCAGCCTTTTGTCTTCGGTGAAGATTAGCAAGTCTCCCTTCTTGAAGGACAGGATGGCAGGGTCTTCTGGGAAACAGAATAAGGGAGTACTGTTCAGGCTTGACAGTCAAAGAAAATGCAAAGTGATTGCAACGTGAAAGACAAGGGAATTGTATTTTGAAGGCCTGACTTCAATTAGTAATAGTAAGTGATTTGTGTAAATACAGCTAATTATCTAGTAAGACTTCAGAGAAATCACATTTCCTCTGACAGCCCGATTTTGGTGCACTGAGGGCAATGGCAAAACTCTATTTGATTTAAATGAATGCTGACCTTGTGTGTAGAACTGGTAGCAAATCATATAAAGAAACTCAGTAGCTGTAAGTAGGTGAAGTTAATGTTTACATTTTAATCCCCTTTTGTCTGTTCCAGCCAACTGTATTCCACAGAAAATTCCAGTTTACCATCTCTCTGAAGTTCTTCTGGAAACTATTTCCAGGGAGCCTAGATCCAGTTTCCTACTATAAGCAGGCTGAGTTGTTGGACACTGTACTATCTAAATAAAATACTCAAAGAAGTAGAAGGAGGAAGGAAAGGTAATTTGTATGCAAAGGTACTGCTGTGCTGATCATTGAGCATCCCTCCTGGAGCAAAGGGACTCTTGCTGAAGTTCTCCCTCTTCTCTTTAGGCTCTTTCAATCAGTGCTGTGTGTTCTCCCAAGATTTCTTCCCTACCCTGTAGAAAAGTTATAAGACTTACCCTGGGATTTTTTCTCCTGCATTGCCACAGCAAATCGTGATCTCTTCTTCAGTCCTTCCAGGAACATGACCACCAGTTCAGCAATGACAACGCTGTTTACAGATGTCAGGACAAACTCCTCGGCACGAAGTGTAATGAGAGTACAACTCTGTCCAAATGTCTTCACTGCCCTATGTAGTATTGAACAGTTTGTTACCAGAGCATCTGAAAGAGTTACAGACACACCTGCAATTACAGCCAAGGCACCTACACCTCTTTGCAGACAACTCCCTTACAGTGAGTATTGGTAGTTCTTTATTTGCCTTCTCATGAGTTGGTAGGTGTGAAGGACTGAAGTGGTTCAGGTTCACTCTGGACTCCATCATGTTTGTACAAAAGTGCTTCACTACAGAATAAGTAACTGGGCAAGTGATTTAATCTGTGACAGTCCTTACAGTGGTGGTTTTTTGTGTACGTGAGATCCTAATCACTGAGTGATCTGATGTAAGGATGTGTGCCCTGAGCAAACCAATGATTACCCTCTTTCCCTCAGTTATCCTGTTCAGGTCCATCACAACTGAGAAGTATATAAACTCCCAACATGCGTAACAGATGATGGCTTAACTATGTTAGTTATTTGGGCCATTCTTGTCTTGATGCATGTCTGTGCTTCCTTATACCTTTCTGACTGAGCAGGATCGTCATCCCTTCTAACAGCTGGGAAGATTCAGTCATTTCAATGTTTCCTTTACAAGCTGCTCAGAACTTGTCCCTTTCTGCTTCCCAGATTGAGGCTAAACCACCTTTCCAGGCTCAGATCAAATCACCTAGGGGGGCAGCAAGGAAAGTACACCTCCCCCCTTACATGGAATATCCTTTCTGATATGGGCAGAGAAGCCTTTTTCAGATCTTGTCTTTCTGGGACACTCACCTGTTGGTGTGGATGCCAGTTATCTCTGGGAAGGTCAGCTCAAGGAGCCGCTTTTCTGACTCATCCAAGAAGTAGATACCTTTCCAGTTTACAGCAACAATGAAGTGGTTCTTGGGCAAGCTGGGACCTGAAAATGCAATAAAAAACCTTACCTATGCTATCAAGTCCTCCTCTATAGATCTTAGATCTGTCCTCTGCTCCCAGGCTCCAGGTATTACCTGAAAACTTTGTGACTTCAAAGAATCGAGAAAAAAGCAAAGGCCACTGAAAGCGAGCAAAATCTACAAGTTGTCCCTTCACAGTCTGACGGGAGAGACGGTCCTGTGTGTATGGGGCCTGTGGTAGACAAAGAGACCTAAGGTTTTCTCAGTAAAATCTGTTTTGCATGATCTGCAGACAATAAAAAGCAAGCCTGATGCCAGAGATGCCCAGCAGCCCTCAAGGGTACCTGGAGAAAGTCAAATTAGGAACAGCCTCCAGGGGCCAAACCACATGCAGCTGAGGCTGCCCACAGACATGCAGTTTGCATATTTCCCTCAAATCCCCACTGACTGATCTGTTCAGAGTCTAACACAGTTTGGGTGGAAATGATGAAAACCAATCTTCCATCCCATGCCCATCCTGACTCGACTGTCAGATGGGAGATAGAGAGCCCGAAAAGAGACTCTATTCAGAGATTTAAATCTACCTTTTTCATTCTGTACACACACACCCTCACCCCCCCCTTGGGCCTTACATGGAAGAGTGAGTGGAAAGGTTCTCTGCTACCCTATTTAACTACTTGGGAAATATAAGCTGAGATGGTTTTCCTTCTTCACCCAACAGACTATTCGTAAATGGAAATGGTGAAAAAAGCAGAAGCTGGTGTTTCAGAGTGGTTACCCAGCAGTGCCAGACAAACCTCTTACCTTAGCATGTGCATAGGTTATAAGGCTCACCCACTTTTCCAGGGGCTTGGACTTCAGCTGTTTTGCTGGAATACAGTCATGGAGCACCTTCTGCAGAAGTTCATTGTGGATGGAATCTCCAAATTGAATGTAACAATATTTTGCACCTATCTCCACCAAATCCTCCTCCTGAAACAATCAATCCATTAAACAAGACTTAGAAAACTGTCACAAAGTCCAGATAGCCTCGTTCAATCTTGAATCCATCTTAGGAACGGGATTTTCCCCGTTTTTGTGTGAATAACTCATGACAGTCATCCAGCATAAGGAGAGATGATCTTCACACAATCATAGCATCAAAGAGGTTATTAGCAAAGATATTTTAAAAGGACCTTCATTGCCCTTTTGGACATGCCTCCAGGTGCCACGTGAACTGAAAGTTGCAGACATAAACCAAAATGAATTGCAGCTGCCAGCCTGGCTGCTGGCACAATCACTTGGACTGTGTTTGTTCAGATTAAGAAGAGAAGGGCTGTCCACAGCCACTTTAAAACTACATTCATCTTCCTGCTTTTTTATGTGGAAATGTTAACATAGCTTTGTCCCTTCAGAAGGATGAATAAGGAGACCCACCTTCTCACAGCGATACTCTCCAAACCGGATGCCTCGAATGACTTGGTGGTAAATGAGATCAGTGCTGATAGGATCCTCCTGGGAGTTGTGCCAGGGGGTGAAGATTTCCTTGCGGAAGTAGAGCCGCCAGGGCGCATTGCGTTCGTGTGTGCCCCGCTCCTTCACTAGCTGCTCACACTGAGAGATGGCATCCAGGACGTGATCTCGTCCGCCACCCAGTGACCACACCTAGGACAAAGGGACAACGCTTATTGGAGTGCCTGCTTTGAGTCTGAGGGAAGGACAACAAACCCAAAACTTCTGGTCTCTGGACAGCAAGAAAAACTGCAAAGGTAAGCAGATGGATGTGCAAGTTGTACTTTGGTACATGTATTTTTGTGTACATGGGATGGTATTGGGAAAAATAAGTTGGAAGCTGAAGCAGCTGTGGTTTGCAATTTTCTATTTGTTAGCCATAGAAAGGCAGAATAGGATTATCAGGTCCTGAGATTCAGCTGGGATTCAGAACTGATTTGGTTTGAGCACAGGAGTGGGATGGGGGTGCTTCTAAAAGTCAGAGGGAGTCCTCAGTGAGGCTGGGTTGACAGTACCAACTCCACAGAAAGAGAAGGGAGCTTTCATTCTATTTTTCTACACTTTACCTTATCAAACACAGCAATGTAGAGCGAAAAACCAAACAAATCCTTCAGTGTGGTCTTATCTGCTATGAACTGACAAATCTCTTTGGCAGTGGAAGCAGAGTCTGCAGGGACAGTGATGCTTTGGCCATTCATCAGGGTGACATTAAACATAATGGGTTTCTTCTGCTTCGTTGCCTGGAAGTCAGAGTTGAATGAGAGAAATAAATTATGAGTAAAGCTTAGTTTTCTGTGAAGAATGAAGAAGCCATTTAGATTTAAGAGTTCTGCACACTATACACCCTAGTCAACTCTTTGTAAATGAATTTCCAGTGCCCACACAGCTTCTTCAATGCATGGTGAGTCTCAAGTATTAATTATATCCCTGGAGCAGCACTAGCCTCAAGTTCTCTCCTCACCACAGCTCAGGAGAGCTGATTATCTCACGACAGTGTAGACTGATAGACTTCTTGTGAGTCTTATTTGGCCTGGTGACTTTTGGGTACAACTTTAGATGTATCAGTGGAGAGATGGCCTGCAGCAAGTACTTTGCCCAAGGAGATTGTTAGGCAATTGGGTCATTCAGATCTAGGAAGGAATTGAACTGAGGCCTTCACTTGAAGGGGGTGTATGTGTGTGACTTCTAATGATGAGGGTGACACTTAAGGGGAAGGACAATACAGCCCTATCATACACATTCCTCCTTCTATTTTAAAAGCATAAACCCTGCTCAGTTCTTTCTACAAATGATCATCAGAGCTTCCCTCAGGAAGTGGTTCTGGCCTGTGGGCCCCGTGTGGATGGAGATACCTCCCTGCAAATCATGTGTTGCAGCTTTTAAGGTATACTTTCCACTGGATTAAGGTTAACTGAATAGCCAGAAGAGGTGTATCTAAGAAGCAGCTGGTCTGCAATCCCCTTGTGCAACTGATTTCCTTTATTTGACTTAGGAAGATCTATTAGCACAGGTTTGTAAACAAAATCCAGGATAAAGTAACAGAGGTCAATATAATTAAACAAAAAGGGAGCTGCTACCTGAAGTTCCAGCCAGCTTGGAGGTTCAGTCCGTGCTCCATTGACATAGGTCCGTCTCAGACGTTCAGCACAATATGGTGCATATCCTGCGGGCCCATGGTGGATGAAATTCAACAGGTACTATATGCACAGAGTATAAGAAAGAGTTAGGAAACGCTAATCCTCATAAAGCTTAAGAAACTGTCTGCAGCTGATATATTACAGTCATCAGGATTAAAGGTTAAGCATGGAATTAGTGTTTTGAAAAAGGAGGATTGAGACACCAAGTTTTACCTCATTCTGCAGAGCTTTTAGTCTAAAGAGGAAGACTTGTGTCAGTCCGTTCACTGTGTTTAACTACATGAAAAATACTAGACAGTGGAGACTTTATTCTTATGATTAAGTTAGAGCAAGCTTTAGTGTTTCCAGCTGAAGAGCCTGAAGTCTTTTTGCATTTTATAGAAATAAAGGCACTGGGAAGATGGCTAATTGCAGGTTAGGACTGGTGATGATGGTTATTTTTAGTTTTACCAAGTTCTCTGCCAATATCAATATTTGAAGTCCATGGTTAAGACTGGGCATTGGATGAGAATGATTGGATAAACTGAGTTTGTGGAGTTCATGTGGCTCTGTTATCTTGGATGGCATGGTGTAAGCATGGACTTGTATCTAGTGCCAGCATGGGTTGGTCACCTGGTTATCTTACTGATTAAAAATATTCCTAGAAATAGGGTATGGTCATGTCTTTCATGAGTTCTGTGTGCTTCACAGTCTTGGAATGAAGACTGACGTCAAAATATATCTATGGCTTCTGTCTGGCTTGTTCCAAGTAGTGTCCGTTTAGCAGCATTTATGATTAGATTAATTATAGCTTAATCATTAGATTAATAATTTGAGCTAAGGTGTCAATAAAGCAACGTTGGTGATTCAGGTATATATATGGATTCTGTTTGCCTCTAAGGTCTAGGAGGAAGGCTGATGTCAAGTTGGAGCCATGGATTGTTGGTTGTGTCTCTTTTTCCTGTGATGAAGTGGATTTATCATACATTTAAATTTGGAAATTAATGAATGATGAAAAAGACCAAATCTCTACTGGATTTTGTAGGGCTTGGAGATGAATTTAAATTCCCAGATAAGCATATGAGATGGTTTCAGCTAAAATCACAGCACCAGCTGCTATGGCAGTTATATGGCTATCTGTATCAAAACATCAACATACACAAGAAACCATGTCAGCTAAGGCATTAAGCTCTAGGAGAGGATAGTAGTGTACCTTCACAAAAGTATCTGAAGGAGGAAAGCAACCAAGGCAAAGTGACAGAAGGATCCAGCCTCGAGCATAGCTGCTCCTGTTGCTGTTTTCCGTGAGCTGTTTGCAAATCTGGCAGTAAATTTCATCTCTGTAATAGAACGCATGAAAGCATCAGGTAATGAGTCACTGCCTGAACTGTCTCTGGCTACATTTCCACTGCACGCTTGGAATGACTGCAGCATGATGAAGTAGGTCTGAGCTAGGGTACCACCTGTAATGTACCACAGGAAATGACTGTGTCATGGCTTTTGCAAGAAAAGGCTCAAGGTACACCTACTGCCCTTTGCCACGCCTTGTTACTCAAGCAGTTCAAGTGTGATTCCCATGCTGGGTTACCTCCTATAACAAGCAGAGGGACTGCGCAGGGATAATATCTGCTGGCTCATCCAGGTGTGAAATGGCATTGCTGACCCTCCACATGTGAAACTTGCTCTAAGCTCTCTACAGAATGTGTTTTGTATCTTGTGGCTCTTGTCTGTCTGCTTATATGTTGGTTTTGGGGTAAGGATAGGGGGACACCTGCTTAAACTTGCATTTTTGGTAAACTTGGAGTGAGTCTTTGGATGAGAATGGAGGAAAGGGTGCTTCAGATTGAGCTTCTGAAAGTGCAAGTTGCCTGCAGCAAGGACATATGGGAAACAGATGCAAAATCTGCATATAAATGAAACTGCTCTTTAAAAATAATCTTGAACTTTCTGGACTTTTGGAACACACGTTTGGCAGGTCTGATGTGGGAGGACAAAAGGCGGATGAGGTTTTTGTTTCCAGATGGACATATGATGAAACAAAGACTGAGGCAGTAAATGCTTAGCCTGTGTGATACATTGATTGAAGGCAATTTTTTGCCAGCTGAGGATCTGCTTTGGGGAGCATCTTGACTGAAACAAAGCAACTATGTAGAGAGGAATCCAGCTTTATAGCTGTGGTCAAAGCAGGGCCTGTCCCTATGGGCTTTGTTACAGAAAAGTGTGGCATAAGCTAGAATGGAGGAGAGAATTCACAGGGTTAGGTCAGAACCAGCTAGCTTCTGTCTTATCTTCACACCATGCTTAGCCTAAGGTCCAGCCTCACACCACTTGTAAGCAGGATTTCTTTTCCTAGTGGCTGATGTACTTAGCAAGCCAGACCTTAAAACTGTCTCTGATCTGGGGACATTGCTTGAGGGCTACTGGGAAACTGAGGTTATGAGCACCTCTCATACACCTAGTGTACCTGAATTCCATATTTCTTACTCTTCTGAGTGTTTCTTCTTCCTCATACTAGGGCTGTTCCATCTTCAGGTGGTTTTGGGTAACAGCCCTGAGCCTCATTGCCTATCTGTGGGGTATTCAGAAAGCTGTATGTGGAGCTGACCTAAACTACAACATAAAGATACCAGTAAAGGCAGTAAGGGAGTTATCTGCTTCCTCTTATAAAGCTGAACCATCCTCCAAAGAGGCGTGTGCCCTACAGTCTGGGTTCTATGTGACCAGCTAGGGCTTTCAGTCAGGAATCCCCAGAGATAAATGAGAGACATTCCAGCATTTGGAAAATGCCCTGGAACTGTGGAAAGGGGATGCTGGATTTCATGATGTAACGGTTGCCTGGTCCCAGAAAGGAGGTACAGATTTCCTACCTGATGGCAGGACGCAGGATTGCATTGCCGATAATGAAGTGCACTTTTTCTAGGTTGGACATAGGCCTCTCAGAGATTGAGTTGTCCTCTTGGAAAGCCTCTTCTCCACCTCTCAGCTGGTCTGTCACCTGAAAAAAACAAGCAGAACCCCCGAGTGCTCTAGAAACCTCCCCTCTTACCAGGCAGCTCTCCCACACTTGAGGGACATTCCTTCTCAATCACTCTGGATAAAACTCTTTCTGCTCAGTGGAGGAGCAGTTTGGAATTTTCATATTTCACCCTTCATTCTCAAGCTGACTTATAAAATGAAGTGTTAAAGCACTAGCAGTGGGTAGGAGAACCTTCTTGTGCTGTCCTGTACAGCCCTTAGCACATGATGTTCTCAGTCTGCTCAGGGCTTTGGGCAAAGTGTTCTGCAATACCAACAATTCTCAATCATAAATCGTGTTCAGGGGTCACTCTCCAGCAGGAAGGGATGGAGTTCATCTGCCAGAGAATGAATGACAGCAGTGCACATGGAGATGGTTTCAAAAGAACAGTGTAGCGTAGATCCTGTACACAGGGCTGGGCTGGCTTGGCAGGGGTGCAAATTCCCAGCTTGGAGGTTGCTGCCACATGACATCTGGTGAAGACAGGGTTCCAGGCAAGGAGACTTAGGGGAAGCAATTTATTTCCATCTCTTACCTTCCCCATCAACTTGGATGTCCGTTTCAGCTTCAGGGAAGAGATCCCCTTTGACATCTTGTTATCCTTTCTGCCTTGTCTCTACAACACACATTACCATTATACAAAGTTAGTTTAATGCACAGCAAAAATGATTCATTAAGGACAGAAAGATGCTCACATTGGAAATGTTTTTGTTTTGTCCCCTCCTTCTGTATTGTCTTTACAGGACTGACAGGGCCCTTTTGCACTTCTAGCATTCCAAGTACAGTAGCACAAAAAGGTTACTTTGCTTTCCTCACCCTTGGTTAGAGCAGCACAGAAGCCAAAGAAAGGAAATGAAAATACAAACATAACCTGCTCCTCTCACCATATCTGGGCTGTCATTCCTGAACTGGACCTGGTTTTTCCTGCCAAGCGTATCATATATTTGTGTCATCACGGAACCGCTCTTGGTGCTGGCATTCTTGGCAAACAGTGCTGGCTCTGGCAGGTCCCCCATGAATCTCAAGATGATAGCCCACACAACCAGAGAAGCCTGTAATGGCAGAAAGCACAGTCAGACACTGCCAGCAGAACCAATGGCCTCATGTCATTTCTACCTGTTTAGATTTAGATAAAAGCATTTTCTACCTTTACCCAGTGCAAGTTGTTTGAATTCCCATCTCCTCCTGCTGTTTACAACAGGAGTTTACTTTCATGTCAAACAGCATGAGAGCAACATTCACAACACTCTATGCTAAAGGAAGAGGATGCAGTTCTAGTGGGAATGTCATATTTGCCCTGTGACTGCGAAGTCCTCACCATGCCCTTTACAGGCACCTTGCAGGTATGTTGTAGCTGGGGTTGAGGTGAAGAAATCTTGGCAGAACTGCACTCTGCATTTACCTCCCTGGACAGATAAGCAGTGCAGTGAACTCTTCCAGGAGCTCTCATGTCCAGAACTAGAAAGTTCTAGAAAGATAGTGAAGTTTTTGCAGCATGGGAGCCTCCATTCTGCAAGGCTGCGTTAGCATCGAGAAGAAATCCCTCTTCAATCCCCCTGTGGTTCAATGGGAACACTGCAGGCCCGGGCCTTCCCCTTTTGTCTTAACTCAGAGACTAGCAACCTTAACAAGAGCAGAGAGATGGGTGAGCTCTGGTGCTTCTTTCCAGTCTGTTTTTGCCCTCAAGGCCTAACTGAAGAAATCAAAACAAAGCTCAGGTTCCCTTTTTAGGCAGACTAAAGGTTACAAGAGAACTTGGTTTAGGCAGGTATCTGTGCCAAGTTCCTGCTTGCAAAGTGCCAAAAAGTGCTGATGGGAGCTACTACTTCCAAGGGCTGTGCCAGAGACAGGGGACCCAAGGATGAGGAGAGATATAAAAACCAAGGCTGTGGAGAAAGCAGGTTTAACGACAACAAGGAGCAAGATACCAGGACGTTATCCTTGTCATCATGGTAGAGTAGCGGGTGCCGCAGCTGCCTCCGGATATGTGTATGTGTAGAAGACCCCTGGAAATAGGTAGCTGCAAACTTTGGGAAGGTGTACTCTTCCAAGCCATCAGCTTCCTCTTCTAGCTCCACACTCATAGGAACCATGTCCAGATCTACCTCATCCAGCTTGTTCGGCTCTGTTTCCAAGTCCTGTGCAGAACATGAGGAAGAAACATATTTTCTTTCCCTGTACTCTGATATTCTTATTTTACATTCTTCTTCTTTCTTTTTCCTTTTCTTTTTCTTTTCTTGGCCATAGGTCCTCCTTCCCAGCTAACCCCAAAGACCCCAAAGCCATTTTCAGCTGCTACCAACAGATGATTTGGGCTCAGAACTTGTCCTTCTGAGATGCATCCATTCTATACGACCTTCCTTGTTCTCATTGTTCTCACTGCTGATGGAAATTCTAGGTGCTATCTCACTGCTCACATCCTACACTAGCCAAGACCATTCTAATCTGCCTACCTCTCCCTACCCAGTTCCACCCTCCACAGCTGTCAGGACTGGTATATCTCAACATTTTGCTTTTAAGAACATGGGATAAGTTGGGTCATGCATTTTCAGCTTGGTTCAGCTGGAAAATCACTGAAAGCACTGTCAGCAGAACATGTGCATGGTGCTAAAATGCACTATTTGGTGAGGGTCTGCTGGGCAAAAGAAAAAAAAGTGCAGTAGCTTTTGAAGACACATAGTCCCCGAACTGCATGTGACCAAAACATTTTGGGAATTGACCTCTGAAAGCAGATCCCAAAAAGACTGTCTGGATGGCTGATTTGGGTGATTCTTTCACTGTACAGAAATTAAACAAAATTGACCACTGGGGGAATTCCAGGGATGAACGGACTTATGCAAGGCATGGACATGACCCATTACCAGTCTGAAGCTCTGTACCTCAAAGCCCAGAGGAGCCTGTCCTTCTTGGCCTCCAATCATAGAAGGTAAAAACCCAAAAATTTTGTCCACCATTTCTTGGTCGCTGATAACATCATCATTTGCTGGTTTAGTGGCAAGAACATTCCTCCTTTGTCTTCCTTCTGCCTTCTCTCTCTCCAGAGCAGCCAGGCATTCCTTTAAACATAGAAGCTGGTTAGGCATTCTGCTAGAGTGAATGGGTGAGAGGATGAAATGCTATTACAAAGGTGTTCCAACAGTGAGGTTCAGCTCTGCTAGTGCAGTGTCGGAACATGAAGGCAAAAGTTGCTTGTGCCAAGTGCTCGCAAAGAACTAGCACATCAACAGCAGGGCTTTGCTCTTAGAGCTTTCTTTATGGACTGTTGGCCTATTGGTAATGATGTGCTATTTTTCAAGACCTTTATCAACAAGAGATGATAGAGGAAAACCACAGAATCCCTGACAGCAGAAACCCCAATATTATCTAAAGTTTAAAAATGTTTTATGTCAGGGGGCTGTAATAGCACTGTGCATATTTGGCTGAGGTGGCAGCTCACACTGCAAACAGAAATGTGCATGTGTTTCCTTGTCCCATTTCTAAAGCATCATTACACATAGATTTACAACTGTGTCTCCTCTTTATTAAAATGTAGATGTGCAAGTGCTCAGGTGTGAGCTAGGCAGGCTCTTCTTAGCCAGGGAACACAGCATTCAGTGGTCCTCCGCCAACAAACCTACCTTTTCTGATCTCATAGCTTCTTCCCTTCCTGGTCCAAGGACTTGGATGAGATGTTTCTCTTCTTCCAAGTGGATATTCCTGGCTTCCCCCTTGCCTGTGTTCTGTGAACAACAGGACCATTCTGTGACAGTTACCACAACTGCTGAGCTGGCTCTCTTCTGCCATAACAAGCTGTTCACACCAGGACTTTGTCACAGCAGGGACTCAGTTCTGGATTTAGCATCTTAGGGAACAGGCCAAAGGCAGAAATCAGCAGACTGGCTTCCTTCTTCAAACTGGCTTTAATACAGAAAGGAAACCATACAAAGTTCTCCCATGTGCTGTGGACCACCAAGGCAGTAAATATAGGAATTTTTTCTGATAGCACATAACAAGACACATTAGGATTCCCCTGTGAATGGATCCCTAAGGGACATTATTGGGCCTTGGTGTAGAAATTGATCTTCCCTTGCAGGAGTGACTGACATGCACGCACATCTTATCTTTTGTCCTCCCTTCTGTCAAAAACATCCCAGCTCTGGCAGTGAAGTTTTGATATGTGATAACAAACACAGAAAGCAAATGTAAACAAGATCAGTTTGCTTAAAACTCTGCTTTCATACTTGACAGGAGCTCAAAATAAAACATCCCAAAATAAATCTCCAGTCTTATGCTATGGCAACACTTGCTGTTCATGAAGTCTCTACCAGGACTTCACAGAAACATGTTCACAAGGTATCTGTGAGCATACCTGCTTCTTCATTCCCTGGTAGAGTCGTCGAGCAAACATGCCCCTTGCATATGCCTGTATAACACATACAGCTTTCTTCTGCTCTGCTACCTTTTGACGCATTAAATAACCACGGCACATGGCTTGAAGCCTGATGATAAGAGTCCGAGTCGCTTCATACTGTTTAGCAAGCTGCCGGCTCCTGTAGAGAGCCTGCAGGCGCCCAAAACCCAGCATAACCTGTAGGGAGGTGGAGAAGAAAGAAGTGATTATGGTTCAAAACCACTGAAGCTGGCTTTAAATCTAGTATATAGCATTGTTTTGGGGACCTATTCTAGGGAGTGTCTCCAGGAAGTGATAACGATAGCTTGGGGTTATGACAAGGAAAGGAAGAAAGCAGAAATGAAGCCAAGTGAATGGGGGGAAGGAAATAAAACACTAGCCCTTGGAGAGATGGGTGTGTCAATCCCAAGAGAATGGGGGAGAGTGCAGGACAACACATTGATGCACAAACGCTAGCCTTGGACTCCTGACTAGAAGAAGTGTGAGATCAGTCATACGTCAAGTTGCCCGAGCCAAGCATGCCAGAGGTTAGTTTGGTTACTCTTTCACCAGAAAGGTCACAGGTTCAGCAAATCCTAAGAGGTCCCCTCCATGGGCTTTACATCCTGTCATCCTGCCTGTCCTCCCTTCAGTTGTGAATATCTTCATTCCTAATACTCCACTCAATCTGGCAGGGCATAATATCCAAACACACACACAAATATTCATATATATTTTTATATATTTATATATTTTATATACACCTGCATCTTACCATTCTGAAATCCTTCCGGCAGCAGTAGCCTCGCCAGGCTGACTGAATGGCTACAGCAGACTTCCTCTGTTTCAGAAATTGTTTCCTAAGCAGGGGGACAGGTGAGGTGACAAATAATAGGTTATTCCTGCTGCTTCTTGTGATACTAATAAAGAACAAGGTGATGGGTTTTTTCCTTTTATGAGATGTCTACACTCTGATCTCAGCCTTGTCTCCTCTCTAGGAACACTAGAGCCAGGAACACTATTGTTAAACTAACTAGCTCAATATTAGTAGACATCTTGCCAGGGCAAGTCTGAAGCTCAGCAAGGGCTGTTCTTCCTGCTTCTGAGCAGCCCAAGAAAAGTATTATGTTGCAGCAGAAGCATTAGTCTGGTTAGATACTTCTGCACCACATGAACTCAATTATACTCACTCAAACATTTTGTCTGCTTATGTGTTCTCCATGCTCATAGAAAGGACAGAACAGATTGACCTTTTTGCCTGACCTTTTATGTAAATAAAGGCCTTAGGAGATTTCACCTAGGCTCAGCTTATTCTGCAAGTGAAGCAACACCATGAATCAGTTGAGCTCATAAAGTGTTTTCCTATTCGCTTTGTTATCTATTTGCTAGTAGAAAGGAGAAGATAGAAGTGTTACTAATCCACCTTCATACATCTGAGCTGACTTTGCCCTTAATGTTGCAAAAATACTGGTAGCAACTGCAGAGCAAAATCATTGCTGTGGCGGGATCGCTCTTAAAAGGCCCTATATCAAGCCAGGATAAGTTAACTTCCCCATTTGATGGCCACTTGCTCCCTGGTGTCATCACTGCCCATGAACTTCCCACGGTAAAAGCTGTCTATCGCCCTGTGGCTGTCAGAAATGGCACATAGCTCTGATGGTTCAAAGCTAAAAACCAGGTGAGGCTTTTAGGGAGAGGTGGTATCTGTCAGATAGCAGGCAGGGTTTGGGAAAAGGGGGAAGCTTTGGGGCATTTATGTCATGTTTGTTAGATCTTGCTTCTCTACTGTCAGGAATATTTCTAAATCAAACCAAGTTTCAGCCCTATATAATGGTTCTAGTTGGGGGATGCAAGATTACTACGTACAAATCATGATGTAAAGCATTTAATGAGGACATTTACTTGATAGTGACTGGATTTCACTTCTGCAAATATCTGAAACAAAATCAGACAAATTGTGCATCTTTGCTAGAGAGCTAGTTTCTATCTGATTCTTTCCTATGTCTTGTATCAAAGAAGCATTCTGCATAAGGAAGTTCTTCTGTCTCTGAGGGGAACACAGATTCCATTGGGATTTCCCTCTTTCCAGGTGCCTACTGTTTACTAGAAATATGAAGTGCAAATCCTCTTTCCAGCCCTTCCTCTTTATGTCATGTCACACACAGCCCTGCGTTTTGAAAAGCATCGTGAAAATAAAGAAGCTGAGCACGAGCAAATGTTTGTGCAAAATCTGCATAGATGCACTGACAGGCACTGAATTTAGGGCTAGTGGAAGATACAGATTCATGCTCAAAAATGCTTCATAGAGTGTGTTAAACAAAGATTACTGCTTCAAACCAAAGCAAATTCCCTTCTGCAAGATCACTGACCTGTCCTTCACTCCTCTCATCACCTTCTGGATAAGAAGAACCTTATCTGTGAGTATATTTTGGCGTTGAAGCTCCAATACTGTATCATGATGATCCTGTTAAAAAGAAGGTGTGGATATGTCAGCTCAGCAGACACCCCTACAACTTGTGAAAACTAGACACATTGTCTGAAAGAGGCTCAAAATCATCAAGCAAGCTGTGATCAAAATGAATTTATGGAACTGCAGTAGGAAGAGTTCACACCACCTGACCACACCATCTCTGGCCATAGCCATAAACAAATAGAGAATCTGCCTGCAGCAAGATGGTCTTTAACCCTGGAGATATGCTATGGGCAAGGAGGTCCCCTGCAACAGTGTGCTGGTGTCTAGTTCTTTTTTATGCTCAAGGCCTGAGCAGAGACCAATATATTGCATTGCAGCTGCAGCACTGTAGCACAGGAACATGACCAGCCTCTCCTACACCAAGCTGTGCCCACCAAATTGCTGAGCCTTCAGGAACAAAGATCCAGCCTCAGATTCAAGGGAGTTTATAAAGCTGTGACTCAGGCCTGCTGGGTCCCCACTCTTGCACAAGCAGGTTAAACTATACTGTGAAGCACCCAGTTTTTCAGTAGAAGAGACAATAAACTGTCCTTTTTACTTACTTTTAGGAACATCTTGGTCTTTCCAGCTTGCCAGCTTTCGTCCTTGCCCAGCACTGCTTCAGAGATGCTGATACAGCTCTGTCGAGCATCATTCTTCAGCTGATGTGCAAAAGCATCATCATGTTAGGGCTTGGGTGCGAAACACAGTAGCTGTACTATGTATCTATTACTCTGCATTTCAAAGGGCAAACAGAAGCAGATGAGGTCTTACAAACCTCTGGGCTGACAGGATAATGAACAAAAGTGGTTCAGCTCAAATGGGCAAGAAAAGGAGGAACATGAATGCATGGCCAAACATTCGGGAGTTCAGGCACAAGGAAGAGTGTGATTACAGAAAAACATCTGAGGGCAATGGAGATGCTACCCTGCTTGGGAAGTCCATGTGGAGCAGGTCAAAGATAACTGGACCTAAAAGCACCTCTACTGTTTCAGCAAAGATCCAAGTAAATATGTATTTAGCTACAGTTCATGTGATGAGAGCTGTCTTAGCTGTGCCAGCAGTAATCCAAGAACCTTCTACTGCAGGAAAGGCTCAAGATCCATCAGAAAAAGTTGTATTAGCCTTAAACTAAGTTTTTGCTTACATACCTGCTGTTGAAGAGACCATGGCAGGATAACCCTGTATCTGTCAAAGAACTCCTCAAAGCTGTAGCGAACTGGGAAGCCAGCTTTCCTGATCTGAATGGTCTCCATCATCCCTGAATATCGCAGCTGCTTGATACACAGCTCCCTGTCGAACAACTGAAAGGGGGAGCAGACAAAGAGGACACTTAACACTGAAAGCACAGCATGCATGCTCCTAGTTTCTTGTAATGCAGATTAAAAATAGGCTTGCTAAACCACATGCAATACTTCAAAAATTACTAACTCGCTTGACCAACACCATGCAAGGTTTTGGTGTAGAGCTGGGTCATGAACTCCTGAGTTGCAGCCAAAACCCCTCATTGCAAACCCATCCCTCTTCTTCTGTAGTGTCTAATTAAGCCACATCACCTCTCTCTTAAACACCACTAGCTCTTCTATTCTCTCTCAGGTTATTTTATCATATGGTCATTGTTGCATCCCAGTGTTTTCCATTTGTCCCCTTGTTGAAGGACTAGAAACTCTCCAGTTCTGTCTTTATCTTTACAGGAAAGGCTTCTACAGCTCCTCTCAGGAATATACAATACATAATTTTTTTCATCTATTACTCTATGATGTTTCTTAGAGATGTTTTTGTAAGTTAGGATTGCTATATCCTACCACTCTTTTTACTGTAGTAATAGCCTGTACTGCAGCTCTTCGTGGCTCAAGGACAGATACAAAATGCTGCACAGCAACTGACAGTTTCTTCTCATGGAAAAGTTTACTGAAGAAAAGATCTCATGTTGTTAAAACATTACCAGCGGTTTCTTGTAGTCGTTTGGCTTGATGCAGCGGATGAAGTATGGCTGGCACTGCTCAAGGATTTTCATCAGTTTTTCCAGGGATTGCTTGAACTGTCCTCCCAGAGTTGAGAGCCGTTTGGTGGTATCCAAACCCTGAAGAGTAAGCACATGCTGACTGCTACATCGTTCACCCTTAGATCCAAGTCATAAATCTCTGCGTTTCTGTACAATGTAACAGTATTGCATAACTGCCCAAAAAAGAATTATTTCCCTACATGGGAGCTAAATGGGTCATCTGCATCTTACTAATTTGGGTTTATTTGTGCACAGAAAGCCAGCTGAGCTCTTTTGCCTATTGGGCACCAAGTTCTAGCAGTGCAGGTGGCTGTGGTGGAAGAAATTCCACCCATGTGAGTTCAAATGGGCCTGTCTCTTCCAGCCGAGGTTGCATTTAGTGTAGGGCCTGGGTGCCAAGCTATTATTCATGGGTGTGTGCCTGAAAGCTTGGTGAGAAACAGCTACTCCCAAAGCAATAATAACCTCCAGCAAGGCGCTTTGCTGCCAGTGCGTAGCTAACTAGGAATGCTAAAGATCCAGAGCAGCTCATTCCTTAGTGATTAGTATTCCCTTACTTGCTAATACTACAGTAAGCAGTAAAAAGGAAAACTTTTACTGGAGGGTAAGGTAAGAGCTACTCTATTTATGGCTGCATATTAAATGCTTTGTCTCCCTGCTCCCAGGTTGACTATTGCTCTCAGTTGCAATAGTGTAACCTTAGAAGGATTGCATTGGACTGCAGTTAGCTTCTGACTTCCCTAGCTCCTCTGAAAGCAGAGCTCCACCTATGTCTTTTTTCACGCTGATCACCACAGTAGGCCCAAGCTTCTACCTCCTAATCCGTTTTAAGGGCACAATAAATTATGGTGAGAACAGTGCAGATTCCAAGTAACAAAAGCGCTTCACTGGCCTTCTACACGCAAGCATGGAGCTAATCATTACAGCACAATATAGCTGGTTGGTTTGGCCGGTTGGGGGTCTTTACTGGGTTGCGCTTTGTTTCGTTTGGGTTGGTTTTTTTTTACAAGAAAATAATGAAAAGTCCAGTGCTTTCCCTTCACTTCCATTTGCGGCACTTTGCGGTACTTCATTCTGCTGGTTCTCACATTCAGGGCACTTTTTAACGCTCAAGCGCGCACCTCCTGCCTTAACTACAAGGCAATGCTGCCCTCCGGCGACTAACACTCAAGTCTTTGGTAAACCGCTCTTTGGAAAGTCTCACAGCAGCTCTGATGCATCTTAGCGCTAGCAATCATGTTTGAAGTAGCTATGGTAACACATATACATGTTTAAGCTGTATAAGAGTTAAAAGCAATTTGCACTTGAAGATCTTAGAGGCCTTTCTGCTGTCCTTATAAATCAGTGGGATGGCCACAAAGCCTGAAGCCCATGCACTCATGGTCTCGCATCTGTAACATTAAAGCTGAATTTGTTGTTGAGATGGTGGTGACTTTTCTCCCATGGCCTGTCAGGACAGCGACTCTGAGACCTCAGCACAGCAAAGGTTTTTTTGGCACTTCATTCACTGTTCTTTTCTATAGCCTATTCCTTAGGCTTCCCAATGGTGGCCCAGAAATTAATAGGGGTATTTCAGCTAACTCCTCTGCATGTTGAAATGGGCAGTAGCCCACATTTAGCATCTCCTTTCTTGATGTGCTACTGCACTTTCTAAATGGAAGGAAATGTTTTGTTGTTTTGTTTTTTCCTAAAACTGCAACCTTATTTATAGAGACAAAAACCATTAGAACATTAGAGCAATGCAGATAGACCTGATATTTAATCTGAAGGTATTCATGCATGTAAGAGATGCTAAGCCTCTGTTGTTGCTTGTACCACTTCTGACAGTCTGCTCCCCCAAGATGTTTACCTGTCTGTGGCCAGATGTTCTGGACAGCAGAAAGCCACACTGGGAAAAAGACTGAGGAAGAAAGGACAGGATCAGAAAACAATGCCAGGAGATAGACAGATAACAGGTAAGATTGCGAGCTAACTGTTCTGTACCCTGACAGGAAAACTCAAAGATGTAAACACTATAAGCAAAAGTATCTTCACACAGTGATAACACTGCATACTTGAATGGTCAGAAATTAAGGAATGTGAAAGTTGCAGCAGGACAGAAAACTTGAACTCTGCCCCATGCTGTTTCCAGTCCACTGTGCTTTACAACCTCATTTTCACTATGCATGGGACAAGGCTCCTTACAACACAAGGCACAGATGATTCTATGATAATTACCCATCCTGAACTTTGTCACAAAGTCTCTGGGCCAGGGGGGAGAGCTAAAGTTGCAGCAGTAAGCAGGGCAGTGAGCCTGTCTACAGGTGTCAGTGGGAGCAGGAGACAGTATCTGTGACAGCACAGCTTTTGCTCCTTTGTGTTAGCTGTCAGCCCTTTGCAAGAAGGAAAAGGCCAGGGCCAACCTGCCAGTTCCCCAGTCACACCCCTTGGTGTTATGATCCCAGCAGACTGGCCACATTTGCAGTATGGCACCAGTTTAGCTGCTGGCTTCTGGACAGGTACCAGCTTTGCAGAGGGGTCTCTGGTTGGTGCCTTATTCTATTCCAATGAACCTTGGAACTACAGTTTCCTCCTGTTAATTTACACCCCTCCTGGAGATGTGGATGCAGTATGAATGCCCAGGCAGACACAGCAAACCCATTCAGTTGATGACAACACGCAGGGAGGTAGCACAGCTCATGCTTTCGTGTCCACACAGATGTCTGGGGATGGAGTCCTGGGAGATGGGACTAACATCACCCTTGTTTACAGCATGATCAAACCCTGACTTTTCCAGCAGACTCCTTTGCAGGAATGAGTTGAATGAAAGGGATGGGGATTTGCAGAGACAGTGCAAAAGAAAGAAGAGGTCAAGAACATTCAGAGCCTTATAAATGAGGAGAAATCATTTCTGCAACCCAGTGCTAGTAAGCCAACCTTGTAGGCCTGGTCAGCTCCAAGATGCCGGATGGTCCCACGTCCCAGACTAGGTGGGGTCTTTTCCACCTGGAAAATCTCCCTCAGGAATTTGTTTTTGGAGGAATGAACCACTTGCATTACATTAGCACTCAGTGTGTCCCGATTCTTCTCCAGGAAGTCTACAGGATGGAAACAAAATCAGCTTGTCACCTCTGCACCCTGCTGGCTCGAGTGCCACTCTCTCTAGCTAAAATTCACTTCATTTACAGTAACTTGCAGGTTAGTTTAGTGCAATCCTCCTGACCTCCTGATCTGACTTTAGATCAATACTACCCTGGAGTGAACTACATCCAGTTCATGCCCTTCTCTTCACCCTCTGTACCCAGCAGAGATAGGCTCACCTTTTGATTCATAGAATACAACCCCAGCAAAGTGGTTGATGCCAAACTTGGTGTCATGAACACTCTTAGGTGGGATGTAGACTTTACTTTTGCCATGGAGGGAATTGATTTTTACAAGCATGGTGGCATCTGTGCCCTAGAAACAAATACAGCCAAAAAAGGACAATTAAGCAGATTCCCTCCCAACACTGGTCTATGCTCAGCAAACAAATAGCAGTAGGGATCCTCTCTTCCCTGTCTGGAACAGCTATAAGAGTTTCTACAGTGAGGTATGAGGAGGAGCACATTCCAGCAGAGAGCGAAGCATTTGCACAGTGAGCTAATTTAAAAGAAACTTCTGTGGGGAGAAGACATTGCCTCTCATATCCAAAAGCCATTTTGCACTTTTCTGTGTGCAAAGTGAAGTGTTACCTGTGAGCTGTGTCCAAAGCCAGATGTTACAAGTGAAAACAGAAATTTACCTTTGGGAACTTGCTCTCTTCATCAATGAGGGAGATGATATTCATAGGCTTGAGTGCGATGACTTCCAAAGCCTGGCGGTTATCAGTGAAGTCAATGTTACTCCAGGTAATGTTCTCTGCATGGTATTCCTCTTGTTCCAGCTTGAAGACATGGTGCACGAAGAACTGCTGAAGGTGCTCATTGGCAATGTTAATGCAGAGCTGCTCAAAGCTTTTGGGGGACAAGATGGGAACCCACAGTCATCCTTGGCCAGTGCTGCACTGATTTATGGTATTTATTAAATGCATATCCAGATATACTACTGCTATATTGCACAGTATTAATGATCACCATCAAGGCATGTTGCCAATCTTAGCAATATAAGGAATGCATCTTCTGCTGTGATAAACAGAAATAAGACAACTGATGATTGAGTATTGCTGAATAAGCAAGGGAAGATCTTGTATGTGTTTCAAGAAACTCCAGAGATAAAAGGGAAATAGCTTAACAATGTGTGGCATGTTTTCACTTGCACTGGCACTACCACTTCTTTTGTTAATGACTCCTTTATGTTGCCCCTGAGTTTCATTACCTGGTAACTGCTGTGGCACACTCTGTATGCTTGGTGCAGTGCTCACCACAGTGAAGCCACATGTGGATTGCAGCCATTGGGAATAGCATAATACAATAGGAGAGAAGACAAAAGATAGAAGATGAGCTGAACAGGTCCTTGACAATGTTCCACAAGCCAGTGAGGAATATTATCTTGTTGAAAGCAAGCAAGATGCATCAGTTGAAACTGATTGAGAAAGAATGCAGAATATGTGCTGATGGTTTGTGGAGTCCTGATGATGTGGTAACATGACTGAGAACTGCTGCTGCCGTAGAGAAGAACAAACAGAACTGATGCTTTGGGACTGAATCCATCAGCAGGACAGGTAGCAATGGGACAATGGGTGCACTGACCCAGTGTTTTGCTGACATGTCCTTAAAAGTAGAGAAATGAAGCAGCCCCCAAAAAGGGACAGGAGAACATTAAGCAAGATGGAAACATGAGCTGAAATGGAAAACACAACACAGCCTACTTTGTACCATATGCTAAATGCATCCCAAGAGACATTGTAAAAATGCTATGGAACAAGAAAGCATAGAGACATGAGGACATACTACATCCTCATATACTGGCTGCCTGCTCATAGCCTTTTCCTGTGAAAATATTCCTGAGGTTTTGGAACAGGCATGTGCAATGACTACACCAAAATGGTTGTGGGAGGAGGTGGAAATATGACCAAGACAGAAGAAAAATGGAGCCAGTGCATGATCATCATTGTGAAAATTCAGTGACAGAAATTTCACTGCTTTTCTGAGAATCAGGATGATAATCCAAGAGCATGTGTCTGGCTTTTTCATTCTTTCCATTCACATCAGCTGCTTCTCAGCTTTCTGGTGGAAATGAAGCCATAACCTCTTACCTGTTGTTACTGAAGTTTTCAAACCCAAAAATGTCCAGCAGCCCAATGGAGTGACGACTGTCTTTAGCCTTCTGCGAAGTTGGGTTGAAAATGGCTGAGTTGATCTTGTTCACTATCCACAGGAAAAGATGTCCATATATACCCTGAGAGAAAAATTAAGGAAGAATTAGAGCCCATCATTCCAGTCTTTAGACATAACTTACTGCTTGATATTGTGCTGCTACAGTGCCATCAAACTATGCTGGAAACCTATGAGGGACCAGAGCCTTCTGGGTGAATGTTTGCCACATAAGACTCCTCAAGGAGTAAGACACAGCTCTGATAGCATCCCTGGGCTTTAAACAGGGAAGATTTAAGCACCAGTACCTTCACAAAGGCATCCCTCCCATCTGCAGCTTGAACAATGTTTAGAGGCCTAGACACACTTTCTCCTCGAACAATGATGGAGAGGTTTGTGAGGCTGTTCTGGAGTTCACTGGAGTCCACCTGGAAGAACAGTCATGGCAACCTGGTCATTCCAGGTGGATAAAGGAGATCCAGTAAAGTCTGTCTCAGGAGGAAGAAGGCCATGACAAACTGCCTGTCCAGCAGCATTCACCAGTAGCCTGCTGTCCCAGTTAAAGATCTCCTAGCTCAAAGAGACATCTGCAACAAACATCACTTGAGTGTCAGCAGGAAGAAGGGGACATGCCCATTTTATGTGCATCCATATATATTCCACAGAGTTTTGCTGTGTTACTATGCTCAGGGAACAAGGGTGAAGGAGAGAACTAGTAGAAGAAGATGAGAGTCTATTACCTCAAGCAGTTTGGTTGCAATTGAAAAGTGTGGTGAGTCCATCACATCAGAGCAGTCCAAGTTGTCGTACACGGCCGCTACAATGAGGAAACAATCAATCGCAGGGTGAATAATTTCTGCTATGGTGAGGGGCTGTGCTGTCATTGCAGCTGAATTGCTGCAACCCTGTAGCTCTGCGAATGTGGCAAGGCAGTAAGTTCTCTTTTGAAACTCACAGGTTTGATGCTTTTTCTAAGGAAGGTCCTGATTTCACACAGGTATCCTGGGACGTATAGGGCCCTCACAATTCCAGAACATCAGGCAGGCCAAAAAAAGCAGCAAAACTGAGAGGTTATTCATTTTAAATAGCAGATTTTGGGGATCTGGGGAAGTGGCATCTGACTTCTGAAAATATTTTTTTTCCATGTATCTGGCTGGTGGGAAATTTAGACAATAAAGAGGGATAAGGGAAATCCTTTATTTTAGCAACCAGCATTACTCCAAAGAACCCAGCTGGCATCTCTGTATTGGGCCTTCTGTGTCACAGGGTAAGAAGACATACTTTTCTTTAATATGACAGCTTCTGGCATCCTGCTGGTGGGTGTCTCACATTGTGCCTGTGCCATATGAGAAATGCACTTATGCAGATGAGTGTTCACCATACTTAGCCAGAATGACTGCTATCATCTCCATGCTGATGACTGCACATCTCTCAGCTGCTCCTGTGTCCTCTGGCTTGTGCAGCACAACAATCAGCAAATGTAACATGGTACTATGTTATCTGTTGTTTCAGTCTGTGTGATAAGAGCCTATTTATAACCATGGAAACCTGATAGCATGACAAAATAAGATGATGTCTTTCAAAACACTAGGCAGTGGAGTCACAAATCAGAACTTCCTTGTGCTTATCTGCCTGCCCTTCCAACCCTGTTCACCTGTTCACACAGGGAAAAGCAGCACATGTGTCCTGGGTTCAGCTCTAACAGTTATCTTTCTTCTTCCTAGTAGCTGGTGCAGTGCTGTGTTTGGGCTTTAGCCTGAGAACAGTGCTGGTAACACACCAACGTTTTTAGCTGTTGCTAGGTAATGCTTACTTTGATCTAGTACTTCAGTCTCATGCTTTGCCAGTGAGGAGGACTCAAGAAGCTGGGAGGAAGCACAGACAGGACACCTGATCTAAGCTAGCCAAAGGGATATTCCATACTACAGCATGTCATGCTTGGCATAGAAAACGGGGGAGTCACCTTGAAGGCCCAGATCACTGCTTGGGTCAGGCTGGGTATCGGTGGGTGGTGAGCAATTGTATTGTGCATCACTTGTGTTTATTGTCAGTTTTTTACCCCTTCCCTTTTTAGTTTTATATTCTTTCCTCTTGTTACTTCCCTTTTCATTATTATTAGTAATAGTTGTAGTAGTTTTATATTGTACTTTAATTATAGGACTGCTCTTATCTCAGCCCATGGGGTTTACATGCTTTCAATTCTCCTCTCCATCCTGGCCAGAGCAGGGGTGAGCAAGCGAGCAGCTGCGTGGTTCTAAATTACTGGCTGGGTTTAAACCACGATAACATGTAACCTAATCTGTACCTAGTCTGTACAGATGAAAAAAGGCAGCACTGTTAGGCCTTTACGATAGAGTCCAGTGAAGGACCAAGCACAGACAGTGGTGAGTTCCATGGCCGAGGGGTTGGAACTAGATGATCTTAAGGTCCTTCCCAACCCTAATTATTCTGTGATTCTATTCTATTCTATGAGTTTACCTTCGAACTCTACATTTCCTAGGTGCAGGATTGCAGCCAACAGCTTGCTGATGTCCCAGTGCTCAGAATCTGAGAATGTGAGGATCTTCATAGCTGAGCGGATGTGAGCATAATCCTTTGCATCATTCCGGCCATCACAGAATGTGCAGTTGCCCTGCAAGACACCACACCTGCAGGTAAGGAAAATCCTCTTGGCATCCATACAAGGAAGAAAGGATCTGCAGGCTGACAAACCCTTGTACACAATGTGGGTGCCCTGTAAGCCACTTTCCACAGGATGCAAGATAAAAACCTATGTAGATATTCTGTATGTTTTTCCCATGTCTGTTTCTTCCCTCAGCTCTACTCTCAAGAAGAACCCATTAGCAGAGGGCTAAATAATGCTTTTCTCCAGGGCTAGAGTGAATACTAAGGAAACCAGAAGGAAAAGGTGAGGGGAAGGCTGCTCTGGAGTAAAGGGCAGGAAACTTTAATAAGGTTATGTACACTTACAAGGCCATGTTTTTTCTGTTTCCTTCTCTGCCTTGTCAGTGAACAATTAAGAACCCTAACTCCAAATCAAAGCAAGCAGGACTGGATCAGTACTGGAAGGCAAATCTCAAAATAAGGATGTTAGGTTCTAGTGGAAGACAGAGGGAAGCATCTGAAGCATCAGCAATAGAGCCTTCAACAAAGCTTGCAAAGTGGGTCCTAGGATGCTGCTCCTAACAGAGACTATTTTCAGCCCTGAGGGAGATGGGGAAAATGCCTTTTTTTATCCCTGCTATTTCTGACAATATATTGTGATGATTACAAAAGTTCCTATACATTTCAGTTTACAGCATGCAAACCTGCCAGCTTGTGCCAGCAGCTGACCTGAACAAAAGCAGGTATGTTCTCCCTTAATCTAATCCTCCTGTCTCTGTATAATACTGATCAGGAAACTTCAGATCTTTTAATGGAATCGCTAAAGTGTGAATTGCAGTCATCAGCTCTTGCTGCAAGATCGCTGCTATTTTAAAAATGTATTTGTATAAAATCTCCAATGGTTTTGCTCTACAGAAACAGCTTTATAGTCCTGTTTTATTTCCTCTCAAACTAGATGCCTACCTTGCATTAACTTCAGCAGAGGTAGGACTTAGCCCATTTTTTTTCATGGCTGTAGAACAGGTCAAAACAAAACAGCTGACATATGTAATATGAGGTATCTGCACAGGCTAAAGAACAGGATTTGCACCATGGCTTTCATGCTCTAAGCCAATTAGCTGTTTTAAAAACTCTCACCTATGAACATCCCACTGCTGCCACTATGGCAACATAAACCCAGACAGGGACATTAGCATGTGCTAATGAATGCAAGCTTCCTCCATTATGTGTATAAGATTTACCAGATATAAGGACTAGGATTCTTGGCACTGATTCTGCTTACTCATTTTCCCTTAAGGTACACATACCTATTAGTATTCTTCCTGGCATAAGATCCCTTGCATTCATCTTGCCTGTGAAAGCGGAGAATATTTCACACCTGCTTTAAGATGTCCTTTATGTTTCCTAAGTCTGACTTTGATAGTAGCCTTTGAACTGCCACAAGCTGCCTCCCACTGGTGGACATTAAATAAGATCTCTGAAAACAGAGGCTCACACTGTTAGCATTACTGCTTCTGGTACTTAAAGGAAAGGACTGTTCATGTTTGGTAACTGCCCATCTGCAGCTCTGGGAGAAGAAAATGGCTGAGAGATAATAAGAAGAATGCAGAGACTATTACCATAGTGAGATAAGTGTACTCTGAAGCAGTGCCCAGATTTAGCATCTTTTTTTGCTCTGTATTCATCCCCATTAGCATGCAGTAGAAGATGTGGTAATTTCTCTCCTCTGGAGCCTAAGAGAAAGAAATAGGCCAACGGTCAGCCTTGTTAGCGTAAGCTTGGAATGAGCAGGCAGAATGTGCATCTGCCCTAACCCTTACCTGCCGACAAACCCTGGACTTCTCCAGAAGGAACTGTTCTATCCGGGCTCCTTCTATCACACCATTTTGATTGAAGTGAATATCGATGTATTTCCCAAAGCGGCTTGAATTGTCATTTCGAATTGTCTTGGCATTTCCAAAAGCTGATGGGCAGGGGACAGAGATGGTATCTGGATTACTGCAGTTAATGCACATCAAGTCTATTTTTTATGCCCTACTTTTTTCTGCTAGCATTTTACACATTTGTGTTTGAAATGACAGTGCTGACAAGCACTGCAGAGTATTTGGTCTCAGGCTGCCTCCTAAAGAGAGAAGCAGGCATACTGTGCATCCAGATAACAGTGTTCTAAAAGACATATTCAAATGCTCCAAATGCAGCCAGCCAATCTGGCCAGGCAAGAGAGCGGGGCAGGTCTGAAGACCTCCAGAAGGACGTCCTGGGAACTTACTTGATCCTGCTACAGAGAGAGACGTGTGTCAGGGCTTCTCCTATAGATATATCCATTCTTGGCTAGTCCCTTTGCCACCGGTATCTAGTGTAAATGCTAAACCAGGGGTCTTTACCTTGGGCTCTGCATTCCCAGGGATTCTTGTGCTCCCAGCAGTTCCAGGTTACCTTGTGGGAGCTGCTGTGGACTTCATGAGGACATGACAGAAAAGTATAGAGAACTTCTGCCATGCATCACCACTGTTTCAGGATTTTAGCATCTGTTTAAAGATCTGTTTCTGACTTTTTTATCCTGATACAAAATCCTGAGATAAAGGTGGTAAATCAGGCATGTTTGCTAAAGAACCTACCTTCCAGAATGGGGTTGGCCTCTAGGACTTGCTGCTCTATCCAGGAATGCTGGCCACTGATCGCTGCCAAAAACTGCAGTATTAGCTTTGTGCTTTCAGTCTTCCCAGCTCCAGATTCTCCACTGCAGTAAGAAACAAAATCATTGAAGGTTTCCTTTCTTCTTTTTTTCTTTCTTTTTTTTTTTTTGGCTAGGGTGGCAAAATGGCAGACCAAATTGCAAGTAAAATAAAGCTCACTTAGATTTACTCTGTTAAAGGCAGATCAGTATCTTTCATGGAAGGCTGGAGAATTCAGCCTTTCATTATCTTATCTGCTAAAATTTAAGTTCTTTTTTAGACTTGGGGTGAGGACTAAATTTTCCCATTAATTAAAACCAAGCAAATCCACAGAGGACATTCTCTACCACTGCAAATTAAATGACCACTTGCTTTTCGCCTTTAAGGCATTATCAGATTTTCAGTGCTGGTTTTAGCATATCAACTGAGTTACCTCAGCTATAATCGGATATTATTACAGTGAGATTATCTGTTTCTTCACACTGATGATTAACAGAAAGTGGATACGTGTTTTGTCTTCACAGAATGAAGAAAGTTTCCTTCCATCTTCAGGTTAGCAGAGGTTGTTTCTCTCCAGGAAATCTCTGTTCTCAGAAAATTCATGTAACACAAGCATCATGTCCCCAAGGTAAAAGATAGCCTTACATCACACAGGCTTGTATTTTGTATTTCCATATGTAGTGACCATGTGCAGAATGTATATCAACATTCAAAGATTCTGGGGGAAAACAATGGATTTCAGAAATCCCTTATGTTCTACCTTCTGCAGCCCTAACTGAAAATGAAGGGGAGAAAATATTTCCTTCCTGTTGTCTCTAATCTTATCTATACCCTTCCCTTTAGAAGGTCTCCTATGTCCACAAAGATGTCCCCTGATCATGTCAGACTTGGTTTCTGCTACTCATCCTCTCTAAGTGCAGTCACCTGATGACACAGCACTGGTCTCTCTTATTCCTCTTCATATTGAAGTAACAGTTGTCTGCAATGGCAAAGACATGAGGTGGTAGCTCTCCAATCCTCTTGTTACAGTACAGTCTGATCTGATCGACTGTGTAGAGCGGCAGAAGCTGGTATGGATTCACTGCTACCAAGATGGATCCCGTGTAAGTCTGGAAAACAGTTATGAGTGTTACCTTCGGCAGCAAACCTGCAAATAAGAATACAACCAAAGCCACTTGCAGTATAAGCCTAAACAGAGGCAGAATGGAAGTCTAGGAGATCCATAGCAGCACTTAGGTGAACCTGAGAACCTGGTTCCTCACTATAAGCTGCCTTTAAATATCCCTGAATATGGATTTTTTTGCATTAGAAAGAATCCTAGGTATAATCTCCTTGCCAAATCACAGCTTAGTTCACTGTCTCAAGCTAAAGCATGATAAAGTTCAGTCTGACCTGGGATTTTTGTGTGTTACCATAAGCTGTTTTGTAGTGTTTTGTTAAGCTGCTTTTGTGTTCTAGTGGAGAGGTAGCTGAACTTTGCTAATGGGCAAAGTTATGGTTTGCATTATTCATACAGTCATTTAGTTACATTTATGAACAACAGCACCATTGAATAAAGAAGGCTGTTGAAGGCTGTGGAAATGCAAGGCAATAGTATTGCTCAAGAATTTCTACATAAGACAGCTGCAGACTGAGTCTAATGTAACAGGCCTTTACACACATCTTGGTAGTTACAACTGCAGCATCCATAAAATCAGTCCTTATTTGCACTAAACATCACCACATCTGCATTATAAGAGGCAGCTCCTCTCCTATAGCCTATACAACATCGGAAGCAAAGCATGGAAAAATCTGAGTATTCTTATCATATTAGAAACTGGGAACTAAGGAACAAAGAAACTAAAAATGCCAAACTGCTCAGTCACAGATAAAACCTGTAATGGACAAGAAGTGAAACCAAGGATGCTAAATTTCCAGATTTATTCTTTATATATCTGTTTTATTACATCAGAATCAAGTAAACATTGACTTGGACTGGAGGATGTCCAAACCATGTGTACTACTGAGATTGATCCTGAGTCACAGCTGAAGTTAATAGCAGCAATAAGGCATAACATGGGCTGGATTTAGCTAACTATCAGCCACCGGTGAAGATGATCACTCTAGGAGAAAGTAAGCAGCACTACTACCTACACATATCTATGATTTCAGAGACTGCTATTAGCTCTCTTCTTCACAGCCAAAGTTCTTGAATGAAATAAGACAAAAACTATGTTGTGTCTCCTTGGCACCCTCTATCTGTAAAGGAAGCAGAGAGCCCCATGTGTGAAAGGCTTACAGGTGCTCGGATCACTTCGCTTAATGTGTAGCAGAGGCTGTTCCTGAAAGTACTCTGCCTGGTGGCCTTGGCACTCACATAGATTTTGTGTTCCTGGTGGCGGATGAGGAGGTTGTGCACTATGCCTGCTTCATGGAGGTCCCCAAGGCGGATCATGTCTTCCACCCCCTGGACAGAGGAGGGATGCATAAGGCGCACCATGTGCATGTTCCGAGCCGTGATCCAGTGTTCCTGAACAAGGCAAGGCACATGCTTTAATGTGTTATGCTGTTGCTCAGAAGCAAACAAAGGAGAACCATAAAGCTTCAGTATAATCCATGGCCAAACAAGCCCAATCTAAAAAATAGTTGCTGCTCTCCAGGACCAGATGGCTGGTACCTTCACTGGATGAAGTGGGTTCTGGACATCACCACATTTAGCACCGCTCAGGGTGCAGCTCTATCAGGTCATTAGAGCCACAACATTGCATGAGGTAGGCAGATGAAACCACAACTGACTTTAGTGGGATCATGATTTCACCTAAAGCTCCTAAGAGTAGTTCTTTCACCTAAGAGTAGGTGTTCTTTCACCTAAATGGAGCCTGTCCATTTTTTTTTCATAACCGCATAGATATAACCTCTAGCTCAGAAAGCTCTAAATCATCATAGTACTGGGACCTGGGGATACTAGGGTATCACCTTATGCTTGCCTTATTTTTATATCCTTTCTTTCAGACTATCCTACCAGACTTTCCCAAAGTCAGATCATTTGGCTAGATGGAAATACAGCCATTTTTCTATACTTTGTACATACAAAGTACTTTGTACATTTAAAGTTTTAGTACACTTATACTAAATTTATACTAAACATACTGAAATAATTTCTTGTTTTAAATGTTAATCTTTTACAGAAATTTACAGAGTAGCTCACCTTGCCTTCATCATCCTCCAGCAAAATCCGTCCTGAGTCAGAGTCCTTCACAACTGCCCCAATAGGGACATTGAATTCACTGTTTGGTTGAGTGTCCAGCCACACATGATCACCCTGGTGAGAAGAAAAGCAATCATCAATACAGTGATCTACTTAATGCCATATAGCTCACAGGCTCTTGGTCTTGATTTTTTAGTGCTTTGATTCCTTTAGCATTGTTTAACTGAGTAAGTTCTTGCTGCTCCTAGGCAGTACAGTCTAACAGTTACAGTACCAGGACCTTTGAGTTCTACTCCCAGCTCCATAGCTGGCCTGGAACATGACTTTGGAGAAGTCATCAAACCAAACCCAGCTGTCTCGCAAGAGGAAATGAGACAACACATTTTACAAGGACAGCAGGTACTCAGCTCCAGTACCTCCCAGAGATTGGCAGGAGGCACAATGAATGCTGCTGAAGTGTCTTGGCAGCCTCATATTAGCTATGGTGTTCTTTCAGAAGGGATGCTTGGAAACAAAGACATTACCAGGAAAAACAAACATGTACAGACTGGTTACCTGGAAATGAAGAGGGCTCTGTTGCAAGAGTTTTTAGATACAGCTGAAATCCCTTACAAATGTGGGTTCTTCCATGATCTTTCTTTGGAAAAAACCCAATACATTCTTTATTCAGCCCAGCTCCTCTGTTCACATTTGTAGAGGCAACATCCTGCCTCTCTGCAGGGCAAGCTACCAGTAACTGCGCTGCTGTCCCTGAGGAAGGTGTGGGCTACTGCTGCCCTTTCCTAGGAATAAGCAGCATCTTTGTGTTGTTGCACTACTGTCCCTGTCATATGCCTCAACTCCAAGCCCCCAGGAATACCTTCTCTTGCTCCAGGCACTAATACAGCTTCAAACAGAAAGCTTTACTGTAATGGCTAGAATGACAACTGAACAAAGCTGATCTTCAATAGGTATGAAGTGGCTTTCTAGCTGAGCGTCTTCTTGTATACAACTTCAGTTACATACTGTAGCATTTACTGTCAAAGTTTCAAGGGTTTTACTGAAATAATATTTCTTTTTCCTCTCAAAATACTTTCTGGGCTTACATTTAAAACCAAACAACAGTAGTGTAAAGCATCTATAAACACTGCACAAGAAGAAGAAATGTTATGCCATAAGGAATAGTACAGACTAACAGCTCTCAGTTGCATTGAATAAAACTCCAAGGTGTGTGCACTTTCAGTGCCACACCTTGTGACGGAGGTCACCAGATCAGCATGAATACAGCCAGGCTAGGCAAGACACCTCTTCAACTCTAGTCTTGATTGCTATTATTTGATACCTCTTTGATACTGGGTTATTTTATATTTGAGTTGAATTGTGATTTTCTCCTCTGTGGGCCTCAGGCTAATCAGTAAATCACAGCAATGAATAAGACTTACCTTTCTGAAAACCACCATTATGTTTCAGCTCACTGTATGTAACCTGCAGTGCCAAGAAGAACATAACGTTATGCCAGAAAAGGGCTCAGGTTTGGATTAGAACAGACAGTTGGGCTTTCCTTGAGATGTCTCCTTGTAGATAATAATAGCAAAATGCCTTAAAATTATTAGTTTATAGATTTTGTTAAAGCACAAGAGATCAGCATAAGCTACACCCAATGCAGAAACAATGAAACCATCTACACAAAGCAAAGAACCTGCAGCACTAGCGTGGTGGCCTGCTCTTGAGTTCTGCCATGTAACTCTGGAGATGCTTTCAACCTTGAAGAGGTCGCTGTACAAATTTTCATACTGGGTAGTTCCCAATAATAATCATCAATAATTTCAATGATGTCCTTACAACTTCTTCTATCATATGTCAAGCTTTAAAAATCTTATGTTTCAAACATTTGATAGCTGTTTACAATTCTGTGTAATATGGATGGTATACATTTTGAGAGATACCCAGATTTCATTACTTTTTGGATTGAATAATATAAAAAATTTGATGATTTCTCTTCATTTTATGGTGGAGTTACAAAAGTTTCTGAGGTTTAGAACTTTGCAACTAAATTATCAGAAGTGTTTGAAGTTGCCACTTTCTTTTTTGGAAACCCATGCTCTTGAAAAATGAAGATTACCATTAAAAATCAAGATGCAGTTCAGGGTTAGTATTGGGTTTTCTCTCTTGTTTTAACAACTTTCAATGTTAAAAGAAAACATCGCAGTGAGAGAATTAGGGCTTGTTTTATCACTTGCTTTCCTATAGATGCCCATGTTTTTACCTATGTTATTTACAAAGGTATGAAATGCTTCCATAAACCATGGTTTTATTTAAAATCGACTGGCGCATAGCCGAACTTTTCTTCAGACTGAATAGAAGGAGCAAATATACTCCTGTGTGCAAGATCCTGCCACTTGTTTTGTGTTATCCCAGTGTCTTAATCATAAGGAGGGCTATTAGGGTAGCAAAATTGAAAGTAGGAAGTGCTCAACAAGGTACATGATCTTTGTGCCCTTTTTGTGGCTATAAAGGGCTATACAGTAGCATGGATTGAACAGGGTTTCTAAACAAGCCCAGAATGACTTAATACTTTGAAGTTGTCATAAGAGAATGCTGAAAATGACAAATGATCAAAATGGTAAAATGCATTGTGATCCCAAACTGAAAAACACATAGAAGCTTCTGGAGATGACAGACTACTGGTGTAGAAGTTCAGGGCTAACATACATTTGAAAGCAGGAACTTCAAATGTAATTTTCACATAGGTGACCCAATTGCAAGAAAAGAAGTGAAATGTTACCCTTAATAGCCAAAGCTAGCACTTGGAAAAACCACAAGGGCTGTGACTCCAGCACAACACCTGCTGACTACATTAAGAATTGATTTTCGTTGTGAGACTAAGTCAATATCCAGAGCTCATCTGTAACTAAGACAATTCTCAAGCACATCACCTACCGACATTTACCAATGCAACATAGATGCGTTCTTTCTGCCTTGTTTTTTTTTTTTTTTCTGTTGTTTTCTCTTTTTAACAGTGTGTCAAGAAGGAACTTTAGTCTTCGATAAGCAGTTACCCTTACAGTGAAAGCCTCATGTTCTTATTCAGGACTCAGGAACCAGATCTGCATATTAACTTCAACAATGCAATGCCCTGTTACTGTGAGTGATGTAGGGTGGTACAGAAGCAAGGTACTTAGCAAAAATAGGCCAAAGATGGCAGTGGTCAGCCACAGTGACTCAAAATTGATAGATAATTTTCCACCTGTGCCAGAAACCAGAATACAGGAACAGAGCAGAAATGTCACCCAGAACAAGGATGGAGTAGTACATGCAGACACGAAGCACAGCTGTACTGTGTGGCATCAAAGGCATAGCTAGCTCCAGATCCAGTCTCTGACAGTAGCCAAGAATGGACATGTATGGAGGAGATCCCACACAATCCTGGGATACACAGTTTCAACATTTAAAATGCTTATTCTCAGTTAGGCCATAAGTGGCCACCCCCCCACCCCCCCCACCTGCTCGAATGGCCACTTTCGGACAATGCCTGGCTCCCACTGTCGCTTTTCTTTCCAAAGCAATGCAGCCCTGTAAACTAAATTGCACCCCACAGGATGGGAAATTACCTCTCCAGAAGAAATCTTCACTGTCTGCTTTCTGCAGCTTAGTTCTCTCTTTTTCATAAGCACCGGAGTAAGAAGGAAAAGGAAGGTGAAACTGGTACCGGTGCCATTAAGGGATGCCTCGCCAACTACCAGTTCTCTGCCACACAAAGGAGGAAATGACTGAACCATGGTTATTTATTACAGGACTTTGCTCCCAGTTCAGCATATGTCATTTCAAAAGGCAGGCATTCCAGTAAGTAGCAAGGCCTATTCTTGCCTGAGTGAACCTTAAACTTCAGTCTCTCCACTGTGCCTGAATTCTTTCAGACTTCTGGAAAGCACTTCCAGAAGAAAACCCTTTAGCATCTGGTTTACACTGCTCCAACACCACTGACTTCCCTGAGGTTTTCTCAGAGCCACCCTGTTAGATAAGAGGAAAATCAGGCCCTCATCTCTCATCTCTCCCCTTGGTTCTGCACAGCTCTTTCTTGCAAGAAAATGCCCATCAGTCTACACACAGGGTAGTCTGTGTTTCACAGTACGTACAGCTCAAACAAAATGAACTCGTGACACTTAAATTGATACATACACACACATATAAACTTCCTGGATTTGTTGTCATTAATTTATCTCCCAACAAACACTCAGTCCCTCTGTTCCAGCATCTAGGTGCGTGTTAGCACCCTATCTGCCCACTTCTCTCTTTCCAACTTAGGATGGGATGACAAAAAGCTTCTCTCTTTCTGGTTGCTCCACATGGACTCTCAGTAATCCTGTGTCCTCACATATCCTACTAAATTCCAGCACTGGATCTAAAGTATGGGAAAGAAACAGAAGTGTAGTATATCTGTAGAGGCAGATACAGGGTTTCTCTGGCAATAGCAAGGACCCAGGAGTCAGGCACTCCTAGCAGTGAGCCCAAACTACAAGGAGTGAATTTTTTCCATCTATCTTAAGTCACAGTATAACCTTCCTCCAGGGTACTGCACACAAGAGGTGCTTTGCCTCACCGTGCACTACCCTTTAGTCAACATGCAAATGAAAATGTGCCACACTTGCGAACACGTGCTAGTCTGCTTTGTGCCTTAACTCTTGTTTTCTCATTTACTAGGTTCAATGTAGATGCTGTAGCTGTATGATGGGAAAGGCAACAAAAGGCCTCCATGCAGGAGACAGCTTCCTGGGCCTCCTGCTGCGGTTCCATATCCGAATCAGAGATAAGTCATGGCAACTAATAGCTGGGGGTAATGTGCGTTTATCCACATTACGTAGATGTGTTTTAATATTAGCCTCCTTACCTGAGGGTTTTGTTAAGTTTTACAGCAGAAATGAAGATACAGATGCAGAAATACAGCATAGGTCCTTCAGGGCTTGGAGACTTTCAGAGGGAGGCAAAAAATCACCAGGCAGCGAAGAGAGCTTCCTTAATGTTTCTATCTGTGCAAATCATTCTTACTCAAGGATTTTGCCTCAAAGTAATTCTTTAGCAAACTTATTTCTGATACAAGAGTTTTTAGAAGTCTATATGTTGTGTGGGATTAACAAAATTTTAAGTACTAATTTTGTTAGATGAAGGCCAAATATTGGCAAATAAATCAAAGTGCATACTTTTATGTTATCAAGGCAGATATCTAAACTCAGAGCTTTTTGTGTAATGAGACTGCAGGGAAAAAAGGGCTATGCATGTTTTTTCTGCAGGTGAAACAGACATGCTGAAGTTCCAAATGGAGCGTGTTTTGGGGCAAAAAATCTCATTCTGAAAATACAGACATTTTAGCACTTATGACCAAGGTGTGGTGGGGGTTCTATTTCAGAGAGAAGTACAGTATTCCTGTCCTAGTACATATATGAATTATATGAAATGGAAACGTATGGAACTCAAAGTAGTCTGAAAGAAAAGCACAACTCATTGTATGGCTGAAATAACATATTTGAAGGGAGATGGATTCCCACAGTTAAGTCTAGACATACTCAAGAGCCAGAAAACATAAGTTGAAGGAGTAGAGACTTGATATTCCAAGCAGGAGCAGCATAGATGCTTTGTAAAGCACATGTACCTAATGAGACATGAGCAGGTGGCTTGCTAAAGGCTTCTTTAGAAAGTACCTCTCAAGGAACAGGGGTAGCTCAGGTTTGGGAAGTCACTGAGCTGTGTGAACAGGGAACAACAGGAGCTTGAAGGAGGCAGCAAAGCAGTTTACCACTGAAGACAAGGTTTGGTGAGGGACTGTGCAGGGCACAGACACATTTGTAGCTGTAATTAGGGGTAATTTGTCCTGTGGTCTGTGCTGATGAATAATGCACTGAGAAAGGCAAATAATGAAAATTTGCTAATCCCTGGTGACTTTAATCCTGCTGTTGTTCAGAGCACTGGGTCTGTCTGGATAGACATGTGTTAACAAAACTGCCTCTTCCTGACAGCTTCCTAATCAAGAGACTGATGTCAGGATCAAAGGGTTTAATTTGCACATGACACTACCTCTCACATTTCTTCTCCAGCTAAATAAAAGTGGCCTTGTCAGCTCTGCATCACCAAGTCTCAGATGCCAAGCATGGTTTTATGTTAAACTAGGTGTTTTTCTGTCTGAGGTTTCTGACGGAAGGTGTCTGATTAGAGAGAACAATTTGCAATTTACACTACTCATTCAGAAGCCTTCCTGTCTCCACTAACCTCCTTCCCCTCCTCTAAGCAGATTTGTAGCTTTAAGTCACTGATGGCTCTTCACTCTGAAAGGCACACTGCAGGGAACAAATCAAACTAAATAAGAGGTACATACCAGTAAAGGATTTCCAAGCGCATCCCTTGGTTGTCTGGCGCATTCTGTCCTTCAGGGAAAGGCTTATTTCATTCCAGCCAGTTCATGATCATGTTGTACAGAGGGGCAGACTGATGGGGCTCTGGGATTGTGTGTCAGTACACACCTTCACACACGCCAAGAGGGCACTGCTTACCCTGCTTGGTAGAAGGCAGGTCATTCTCCCCTACTGCGCAATCCCATTATGGTCTGAGTGTCACTCCATCCTTCCTCTTGGGATGCAGCCAAGAGGGTATTACAAGAGTATATTACAAGTGCCAAGTTCTGGCTCACGAGGGACAAAGACATGTGCACACAAGCATGCACACTAGTGTGCACACACGTCCCCTGCAAAATAATGGTCAGAATCAATGCCCAATTATTCAGCATTGCTGAGGTGAGGTTGCTTAAGACCGAGGTGCACCCCACCCTCTGTGGTGCACGTAAGATGTCACAGGACTAGGCTCAGGGTTAGGAAGTCTATTTTTAGAAAGATGGGAATTCATAAGTTAGGAACCTCTTTGTGCCTCCTTCCTCTCCCAATAGATGCAGCAATTCTCTGTTCTCTCATCAGTGCAGCCTCAGTGCAGCTGGAATTGTACAGTATCTTGCCACCCTTGCAGAACATGACACTCATTTGTATATGACTGATTTCCAAGGAAGGTTACCATCATACTCTGATCCTGCTCAGAACTTTATTTATGTGATAGGTTTCTGTGTTTTCTGGGCACCTTGGTACAACTTCCAGATACCTTGGTACACATTCTTCAATATATTTTTTGTTGTTAGTTCCTAGCTATGCTTCCCCTTGTCCATTGTTTTCTCTTACCCCCACCTGTTATTTCCTACCTCAGTGCTTTGTCTGCAGAGAACTTTATTTGTTGTGTTGTAATGAGTGACACTAAAGTTGTCATACTGCCTTCTATTTAGTCAGCTGTACAAAGCCATTACGTTTCTTTATGAAGTCAGGTAAGTGAAAGAATGGGAGCCTCCCATCACACACTGGCACATGTGCCTGCTCCTCCCAGAAAAGATCTAAGTGAAACCATGCAGTGTGAAGAGCTAAAAGCAATAAAAGTCATACAGAAGCAGGAAGAAAGGGAATGATACCATTAAGAGTCCCATCCTGAGGATCACTAAGCAACCTTTGGGGCTACCTGGAAAAGTCCTGTAGAGCTGTAAACAGAGACATTCTCTATATGTTTTATGTATGCTGCTTTCAGGATGTGTGCGTGTGTTCTGCATTTTTGCTAACATAGGATTGTATCCAAGAATTAGATCCACTGCCACTTCCTCCAAGTGGAACGCTGTAGGAGATGTTGAGTAATGACTCTGTTCAGAGAGTTCAGCTGTATTTAACATGGTACACTGAACTCCCTGCATTATAGCTGTGCTTGCTCCTGGAGTGTGTTAATAATGGCTTAACCTCTCTGCCATCCATTCTAAAGTGCCTCTAGCACAGAAGAAAGAATGACTCACTTTGCCCAGGGTTCTCAACTTATCAAATTTTGATGTCCCTGAACAGAAGTGGAGCATGTTGGGTTCTAAAAAACCGCTGCTGTTTACTAATGCCCCAAATGACACTGCCTCAACAGTTTTCTACTTGTCACATGTTAACCTCTACCTCTGAGAAAATGAAGATGTGTTATCTGGCATCGAACAAGAAGAGAGTCAGGAAACCAGCAGCATATGCATTTATTAGGCTTGCCATTTCAAAATAACGCATTGATGACAGAAGTGATTTCTAGTAATCCTCTACTGACACAACGTAGGCGTGCCAAATGATTGAATAATGCAACTGCTCAGCGGATAGAGGTTACTAAAACAGAACAGAATAATTCCTGAGGAAGACACAGGCTGTTCTACCCGTGTCTTCTCTGGAAGTCAGCAATTACCCAGGAATTCAGCCCTAACTTTCAGCTGATTCTGAAGGTTAAATGTGGAGGAACCACCCACACATGAACTAGGTTGAACCACAGCTCTAGCTAGGGCAGTCTAAATGCGGTGAGACAACTAGCCCTCAGTTTCCATGGCTAGCCATGAGTCCCCCCTTTGGCCAGTAGCGACATATATCTGTTGACCCCATTGCAGCGTCCAGAGCCCACGCGTGTAGCTCGCCTAGACTCTGGTTTTTACCCTGCTGCCTTCTTGCAGAGACTCACAATATTCTAACTTGATTTGCAGGGAGCAGAGGAAATCCCGTTACTTAAAGGGTAAAATCTTTCCTATCCATGTCAGGAGATGGAACTCTTGATCTCACATCCTTTATCAGCGTGGGAAGCATTGTGCCTCTTACTGGGCGAAGGGAGATGCAGGGTCTCTCTTGTGTGGTTCATGGGTGCGGGTTTAAGCAGTGATATAACATTTCCTGGGGTTTTAGTCTCTTGGAAGCTCCCACATGTCCCACACAGGGACATATCCTTATTAAAATAACACCCGTTTTCACTCCTGTACAGCTGCTTGTCTCCCATGTCGACACAGGGGCTCAAAGCAGCCTTTTCTTTTTTGATCGAAGGCTCCTTCCATTCCCCCAGCACTTCAGTTACGAAGCTAAAACCAACCTGTTTCCTAGAAAACAATGCAAACACACGGTTAGGGGCTGGAAAAACCCCACCTTTCCTGTTTGCTGCCCGCAATCACACTCTATACCACAGCAGGTAACACCGTGCGGCCCCGGCAGAGCCGCGCAGCGCCCCCTGGCGGCCCGTCTTCGCTGAAGCCTCGCGAGATCCTCCCCCAGCCCCAGGGTCGCGTGGGGAAGGGGGAATGGCCGTTCCTCGCGCATGCGCAGCTGCGGTTGCCGGCCGTTCGGCGGAGAGACGCCATCTTGGGCCTGTGGCTCGGAGGCCGGCGGAAGGCGGCGGCGGGCCCTAGTGGCGAGCGCTGCGCTGGGGGCTTTGCCCCGCCGCCAGCCCGCGGGGCCGAGGCGGGGAGGCTGGGCCGGCGGCTCGCCATGGAGAGCGAGTACTACGGCGGGGACCAGTCAGGTAGCGGTGCGAGAGCGTTCCCCGCGGGAGGGACGCCCGGAGCGCTGGGCCCTGGAAGGGAGGGTGCTGTGCACGGCGAGCACCGCGGGGATATCGGCCTGCACCCTCTGCCTGGCGGCCGCTGCCGGCTCCAGCGGCCGTTTGCGCTCACCGTGGTGTGGCGCTAGAGGCGGCGGAGCCGTGCCCGGTACGCCGGCTCGGTGGCCGCCCCACGGAGGGTACGCCGGGCCGGGCCGCCTCCCCCCCGGCGGTAGTGTGCAGTCGGCTTTGGAAGGGTTGGGTGACATCGGGGGGCTGGCACGGCTGCTGTGATCTCAGCACAGCCTTGGTATTAGTTCGGTGTTTTGGTCAGTCGCTGCTGGCGTGCGTGTTCTGAGTAGTTTTGTGGTATTTTTTGGGGGGGTGGGGGTGTGGTAGGTGTGTGCCGAACCTTCCCAGTATATAGCATTCGTTTCCCTGTATTACAGAGCCAGAGACTGTTAGAACGAGGGTCTGACTGTAGTGCTGTCTGTTCATCGTCACTGTGAGTGCTCTTTTAAACACTGGAAGATGTCGCTGAGGTTTATTTTTCTTTTCTTAACTTTGGAGTAGATGATGGTGGAGCTACTCCAGTGCAAGACGAGCGAGATTCGGGATCTGATGTGGAAGAGGAAGCAAATGAGCAGCATTCTGGATCTGAGAATGGAAGTGTAGGGCACCATTCAGAGGTACTCCTGGAACTTTATCTAGATAAAGATTATTCTTTTATAAATAAATTTCTTGTTCTTGTTTAAAGAGGCGTTTTCTCCTAATTAAGACTTACGTATTTATTCAGTTGTTTTTAAGGGTCTTGTCTGGCAAAAGTTAACCTCCAGCAAGAAATGTGTCACATAGTCCCTTGGCCAATGTGTAGAATAGGGTCTTTTTATTTTTCTTTTCAATTGCTGTAATAGCATTCACTGTTTTGTTTCATATTGTTATACTCGGTTGCAAGAAGATGAACTTTTGGGGTTTGAAATTCTAAGCAGTGGTTTATGAGCTGTGCAAAGTTACGTTCAGCCTGGAAAGGAGAAGGCTACGTGGAGACCTCATAGCAGCTTTCCAGTATCTGAAGGGGGCCTGTAGGGGTGCTAGGGAGGGACTCTTCATTAGGGACTGTAGTGACAAGACAAGGGGTAATGGGTTAAAACTTAAACAGGGGAAGTTTAGGTTAGATATGAGGAAGAAGTTCTTTACACTAAGGGTGGTGAGGCATTGGATTGGGTTGCCCAAGGAAGTTGTGAATGCTCTATCCCTGCCAGCGTTCAAGGCCAGGTTGAACAAAGCCTTGGGTGAGATGGTTTAGTGTGAGGTGTCCCTGCCTATGGCAGGGGGTTGGAGCTAGATGATCTTAAAGTCCTTTCCAACCCTAACTATTCTATGGTTCGAGTGTAAAGCATGTTTGGAGGTACTTTTTCTTAAAGGTGGAAGAAATTGATTTGGTGTGAGGCAGCATTTCTTATTGTGACAGTCAGGATTTCAGTGTGGGAGAAAATGTTTTTTCAGCATGGGAGGAACAACTGTCTTTCAAATGAATTTAGTAATTCTGTTTTAATGGAAAAAGGCAATGAGTGCATGGAGAGTTATGTTGCTGCTTCAGTAATATTAAGCTTTTTCTGCTGTGTATGAAAACTTGGTCATTGTTCTTTACTCCTTTGGGATTTTAATTTTACTTACCATGGCAGAGTAGCTGGAAATCTGATCTGAAGACCAGGGAGCTGGCTGGTACTTAAGTCTTCAGCATGTCTTTTTCAGATTTAAATAACCAGAAAGTACTGTCACCTGTTACCAGCTTTAAATGATCTTCTTCATGTGCCTGCATTATTTTAAAGGCTTCATTCTATGATGGCTGTTGAATATCTCTATGGAGATAAAATACTCCAGAGATGCAATAAGAAAAATACATTTAATCAGAGTAAAACCCCAAACTAAAATACTTTTCTGTCCAGTAGTAAATGTAAACCTTCAAACCTTAGTGCTTTATTTCATTCAGTTTAAATCATAAGCATTTGAGTATTTTGGTTTGTTATGAAGTCTTACATACTTAATTTTCCCTACATCAAATTCAAAATGCAGTAACGTGGAGCAGCTGTCACTGAAATGAGTAGCTTTCAGTGATTTATCATACTATTTACCCTAAATATTCTCTCATCCTCGTATTTCCTTCATCTTTAGGAATATGTGGGAGGAATGACACTCAAATGTAGTAAAACCTTTGAGACAGCCTAATCAGTTAAGTCTATTTAATTACTATTTCGTCTCTAATTTAGAATTTGGATGTGAAGAACTGAAGTTTTAAACTTTCAAACTTTTTTTTCAGGTCCTTAACTTTAAAGAAAAGGGGAATCCTGAGGAATTACTTATGTAGGTCTCAGGTATGTGGGTTTTTCTTTTCCACAATTCTTTTCTGGCTTTCCTTCCCCCAGTCCCACTTTATCTATAAATGTTTTTCTTGATGTCCTTACCAGTTCTGCTTTAGACAAATAGAATTAGATAACATGTAGGTTTAGTACAGTAATGAATATGAAATCATGTTTACAGTGTTTCTACAAGTCAGGCTCATATGGAAATCTTTAATGACTTAGATCCTTATGCTTTCACCAAGTCGTTGCTGTCTTCATGAATTAAGTTATGGTTTGACTGTGACTGTTAAGAAACCTACATTTATGAAAATAAGATAAACTCGCTGATCTGCCTGTGATGGTTATGTATGCCTTAGTTTAACAGTTATCATTCATGAGGTTGTAGTGGATGGGTCAATTTTGTTCAACTTCGTGAAGTGTCAGAGTAGTACCTCTTAAAAGTGGCTGCATGTTGATCATATAAACTACTTGCTAACTGAAATTTTTGTGTAGAAGAATAACACTGTAAATTTGGTTTTTATGTTCTTGACTTTATACTGTACTAAAGCCTCATGTTATAGAATTCTTTCAGTTAAAAAAATAAAAGGACATCTCAAATTAAAATGTTTATAGATAAAGAGGAGGAAGAAAAGAAAGCAAAGGAATTAGAGAAAAATGCAGTAGCAATTACCTGAGACCTACTTATTTTTGGGGATGTCTGATCTTTTAATTAAGTATTTGGAAAAGTAGAAAATTCCAAAATGACATCCTTGACTTCTTTGAGAGCATCTTTTTAGAGACGAACTAGTAAAAAAATAAGTGGTGTTAGACTATCCTGCAGAATTTAAGTCCTCTTACTGTAAAGTTGCATGTACTTTTTATATCAAGGAAATTCCAAAACATTCAGAGTTTCATTAATTGTATTCAGAAGACCTTTGCACTGATGGCTGTGGACAGGACCTGTCCTGTATAGGCTCTGAGCACGTCATCTCTGCTTCAGAAGGTGCTCAGTTATGTTAATGTGCTGAGTCTGAGGTAGAGTGTGTCACCTTTCTGCACTGTGCACTGACTTGACCAAGATAACTGTGCTTTTTGGGTTATCTCTGGTTGAGCTTTCCATACTCAGGACTAGAGTAAATGGTGCTGTCTGCCAAGTCTGTGTAGGGACACTTTTATCATCTGTGATTCTTCTGTAGGTGATTGTATCACAGGAGAGTTCAACTGCTGTAACCACTGGAATTCTGCGGTGCAGAGCAGTGTGTAATGGCAGTGTGAGCTATTAGGATGCATGTCTGCTCTCTGTCCCCAAACATCTTCGTTCTCAGGAGTTTGTCAGTTTGCAGTAACAGATTAGAGATTTAGTGTATTGTAAACTGCTTCAGTAATAATGTTGTATAATTGTAATGACTTCTTTATGAAGCACTTTGCATTGGAATTTCCTAATTTAGTAATACATTCTGCATAGGAGGACATATAACCTGCAGCCGCACTTCTGACCTTAGAAGCATTTAAGAATCATTATGAGTTCCAGTTATTTTTTTAGTTCTGTTTACCTGTTCGGTGAAGACTTTCTGGACTGCCAATCTGGAAGGTGATGAGCCTTATAGTTTAAACAATAGGATTTGTATTGTTTTCCTTGGGTTTGTGTAGTTAAATCCCTTAGTACTGCTAACATAATTATCAGCATAGCCATCTGAAATCAAGACATGACAGACCAACCCACCAAAAATTATATAGTAGGAGAATAAGGATTAAAGAATTCATGTTATTAGAAATACAACTTCGGTGTAGACTTCTGCATTTAAGTACTTCTCAATAGCCTGACCTGTAAAACTGCTGTCAAATCTGTTTCCTGTTCTCTTTGCAACTGCAGTTTTCTTTAAATAATACAGTCAGAGAAAATACACCACATACACACATTGTTAGTTTACATGAGAGGTACTGGGCAGCAGAGAGCCATTGAATTAATACTTTGGTATGGAAAAAAAGTGTATCTCATAACAAGCTGAGAGCAGTTGAGTGTGTGTGTGGTCATCCTTAGTTCTGTAATTCCTTAGTCTTCAATTCTTTAAAATTTCACATTCAGGTTTTAATAGAACCATGTTTCCTTTCTGTAAGAAGAAATGAGAAATACTGAATAATAGCACCAGCATGATTTAAAATACTAGCATTGCTTTAGAGACGGGGCAAGCAGTAGAGAGAACTTGCTCACATTGTCACAGCAGCTGTTGTGTAGCCAGCATTAAGTAACATGGAAATAGTGAAGTTGTATTTGAAGTGCATGTTTTCAAAATCTGTAGTCCCTATTTTTTTCCATTGTGCAATCACTTTCTGTTAGTGATTTTTCACTGATTTAGAAGTTACTACTTTACTGAGTGCCAGCCAAGGGAATAAACGCCCAAGGTCCAAAATGTTAAAAAGCCATGTTATTTAACACTTAATGTAATTCTGGAGGGAGTAGTTCCTAAAAGCAAATTGAAATTTATTTTGTTTAAAATCTCTTCTTAATCATACATTTTAAAGATCAATAGTATTGTTTGTTATAGGATAGATACACCTGCATTATTTTGTATGGCTCTAACAATAGAAAATATAGGTAGCCTGTCCATCTTTCCAAGGAAATTAAATTGCTGACAAAAAAGACTGAGAAGCTCCAGGACATGCGGGTCTTAAAGTAGCCCCTAGGACAATAAATACTCACTTTGCAAATATGCTAGTGGAAGGAGTCTGTAGCTGAGACAAAATCACTCCTAAGGAAAGCCTGGTTGAAGAGTGGAGTTGAGCATGTAGAAAGGAAGTTTCTTTTACAGTATTGTTCTTTTCAGTTGCAAATGGGATTATTGTGACTGTGAGTGTGAGAAGTGTACTGAGTTAGTGACACTAGTGACACAAGTGTTCAAGAAT